GGCAGCAGGAGCAGAAAGTGCCTGTGCCAGCAAGTCCCCCCATCCTGGGGGAGTCCTTCTCCTGGCAGGCATGGCTGGGTCCTGGCCCTAGCCCCGTGCTCAGGGGCGCAGGGAGATCCCACCTGCCGCAGACCCAGCCCTTCGGCCCCATCCAACAGCATGCGTGGACCAGCACAACCATCACCTCTCCACAGCTCCGTTTCCCACTTCCCCGTCCAACATGTTCGCACATGAACACTGCCAGTCACCATGAAAGGAGCTTACCAGAAGCAGCTCTGTTTACTGCCTTCTCAGAAAGGATCACCTCTTCCCATCTCCTCAGGGCGGGAGAAGGATGTGTGCCTTTCAACAGCATCTGCGGGGACCAGTTTGACGCAAGTTTATTGTTAAGCCAGGACGGTGGGTGAAGTTGAGACCCAGAAAACCTCCCTCCAGCAGTGCTGCGGGGGCAATGGTGTCTCCATGGGCGCTGGGGGCACCCGCAGGCCAGCCCCCAAGGGCAAGAGGAGCTGCCACATGCAGTGCTATGACCTGCTAGATGTGGCTGCGCTGGGGCCACTGGCACCCCCTGGTCTCAGCTGAGCCCTCGCACCCCGTGAGCTTTCAAATCACAGCCAGTCTCCTAAAGAAATGGGACATCACAGCCCTCCAGACCGGAGCTATCACCGCGCTCATTCGAGCAGCTCTTCCTGCCAAGCCTCGGCCACCGGCAGGTGCTGAGGTTGCCACCGGTGCCCAGGGGCACACACGAGCAGCAGCAGACAGCCCCGGGAGCCCACAGGGCTTCCAACAGGCAGCAAGCCTTTACATGACCTAGCACAATAAACACAGGGGCTGGGCAGGGAAAAAAAAAAAAACAGGCACACATTTGTCTGCCCAGACTCTTAACCCTTTTCAAGCCTTGCTGGCTCACCTGAGAGACCACAGAGTCACCAGACCCCCTCCCTCTCCCACCCCAGCTTTTCTGCACGCCACGTTGTAAGAACAGGGTGTCTTTCTCCTTTGCTTTTGCCCAGAGCCTCCACACTCCTACTGGATTTCAGCCATAATCCCCACTAGTGACTTGCTCCCTCACCAACTGGATCTCAGGGAAACCACACTTTTGAGTGTTTTTACCCAAACTTTCTTTGTGGGAGCATCACACCTGCCCCATCACGTAGTGCAAGATCTCCCCTTGGGCTCCAAATCAACTGTAGTGGCTGTGGGGTGTATTTTTAGGGTCAATGCAGCAGTCTCACCTCCTAACAGAGCAACAGGCTACAGATGCTGGCCATTAGCATCTTGGTGTTGGCTGGGAATAGTTAAAAAAGGGGTTGCTGGGGGGGTTAGGGATAAGTGAGATTCTTGTCCTGGGCCATGATTCCTTGTATCAACCTGAGGAGGCAGCAGGGGAAAATTGAAGAAGGCAGAGATGAGGCACATCTGGGATTCAAAATGCTGTTTGGGGAACAAATTTCCCCCAGGACAGAGGTGATCTCAAACCAGGGTGTGGGACTGAAGGCAGTCCTGCTCACACCTGTGTGCCGAAACGAAGCGAACTGTCTGCTGCAAGAGCTGATGTGCCAGTGCCCCTTCTCGCTGAGCCAGACTGCAGCCCAGAGACCTCCCTGCGGGCATCCTCCCCGTCCAGCCCCAGCCCGCACCTCCACAACATCCCAGGTTCACCTGCTCCAGCCCAGCAGAGTGAAATTGAGGGAGCAGCCTGGCTGCAGGCAGCAAAACCCCCCCAAGGATCCCCCCCCCCCAAGTTGGAGGGGATGGGGGAGCAGCAGCAAGTGCTAGATCAAAGGCTGTCTCCAGGATGGGTGCAGGGCAGCGGTGCAGCTGGCCCCCCTGAGCCCCCCGGCCAGCACCAACAGGCATCCGTCTAGAGGAAAGATCCCCATCAGCAAAGGATGCGCTGCTTCCCCCTGGGAACTCACCGGATGGTGGGTAAAGAACAAACCCACCCGCAGCCAGGGCCCCTCGCTGGCCCTGCCAGCCCAAAGGTGACAGGGGCCACGGGGAAGGGACACGCAGCCTTTCCTGCTCTTTGAAAGGGTCCCGCTTGCACCAAGGGGCTCACACTGCGCTCTGCCCCCCGGGGAAGGCTCCTGCGGAGTTTCCTGAGCTGGAAGGGCCTCTACAACTTGCTGCAGCAGACAATGCCATCGTGTGGCAGTTATTACTTCCTCAGCTGAAGCAACCGCGCTAAAAATTGCTGCTTTCGCCCTGGAGTTAATTAGCAAAGCCCTGCTGAAGTGTTTCCATACCACAGGGAAGTGCCCTGGCTGGGTGCTGGTATCTCAAAGCCAATGTGGATGGATCGGGGCCCCCAAACGCTGCCATCCCTGTGGGTCCGGGAAACAGAGGCCCCCACTGGGCACGAGAGGGACCTCCCAGGACAAGCCCAGCCCGTGGAGGTACCAGGCTCCTGTGGACCCTGTGCAGGAGCTGGACACACACCTCGAGGGGCCACGCAGAGCAGATGATTTCAGTGCTGCTTTATCTTTTCCTTCTCGTTGATGAGCAGCACGTGGATGCAGATAAACATCTTTGCTCTGAGGCCACTGGGACTTTCACTGCAGGACAATGAGCTGACGAAAAAGTTAAGGAAATAGCTTTCTCTGCTGACTGTTTACGTCACTTTGGATGTGGCTTCTTCCCTTTCAACCCCCATCCACTTTTTGCCTGTCTGGCTGCTCTCCCAGCTTGCTTTTATAGCAACAGCTCATGCAAAGACAGCCGAGAAAAACTCCTCTGAGTCATACCCAGGGGCAGGCAAGGTTGGAAGCTGCAGGCAGGCTCTGTGCAGCTCCTTCTCCTAATTGCCAGCTGAAGCATTTCAAGGAAAAGCCATTTCTGGGGAAGGCTTAAATCAAGCCCCTGGGGAGTGCACAGCCAGCGGCCAGAGCCGGGCCTGGTGTCACCCCCGGGGCTCAGCTGAGGGGTTTTGGCTGCAGCCGCTCTTGGGGGGACGTGCAACTGAGACCACAGAGCCCTCCTGTCCCATTGCATCCCATCCCATCGCATCCCACCGCATCGCATCCCATCCCATCGCATCGCATCCCATCCCACCGCATCGCATCCCATCCCATCCCATCCCATCCCATCCCATCGCATCCCATCCCATCCCATCCCACGTGCTAGATGTCCTGGCACATCCTTCAGCCCCCTAGCAGTCCTCGCTTCTCCAGAATATGTAACACCACATTCTGCACAAAACCAGTGTTAAATTTACTCCAGCGAAGCAGCGGGAGCAGCCCAGAGGCGCTGAGAGGGTTTGTGGGTTTTGGTAGAGAAACCTAAGCACGGACTTCTCTGCCACCAGCCCACGTGGTGAAGACTCGTCCTCTGCCACACGGCCGGGGGGACACCGGTGGCTACTTCTGGTCCCTTTTTGAATCCACAACGCGTGCAGGGGCGCCGCGTTTCCCCTCCAAATCTCGCCCCCCCGAAGCTCCGCGGCCTGGGACGCAGACTCACGCTTCCCGCCGTTGTCCCGGTTCCCCCCCCCCCCCCCCCAGGCTCCGCTCCCGCCCCGGGGTGTTTCTGTCAGGGGTGGGAGCAGTGCTGGCGGCTGTGCCGCTCCCCGGGGCGCGGCGAGTTTCCCTCCCGCGTGGGTTGTGACACCCGACCGCAGCCCCGGGGGGGGGGCGGCCCCGGGGGGGGGGGCGGCCCCGGAGCCTCCGCGGGGTCGCGGCCGCCTGTGCGCGCCGTAGCGCGGGGCGGGGGAGGCCGCGCAGCGCTGTCAGGATGGCCGAGCGGTCTAAGGCGCTGCGTTCAGGTCGCAGTCTCCCCTGGAGGCGTGGGTTCGAATCCCACTTCTGACAACCCGCAAACGTTTTGCGGTCGCCTTTAATTAACTTAGCTAACTCGTTAAATTGCTTTTAATTGCGCCTGGATTTTTTTTATTTTTGGTCCATGTTTTTTGATTTCAATCGGCCCCCTCCTGCCTCCTCCAAGAGAAAAAGCCGCCGCCGCCCGGCGCAAGAAAAGAAAAAAAAAAAAAAAAGGAAAAGGGTACAGCTGTCAGAAGTGGGATTCGAACCCACGCCTCCAGGGGAGACTGCGACCTGAACGCAGCGCCTTAGACCGCTCGGCCATCCTGACCCGCTGGCTGCGCCGCCGCCCGCCGTGTCCTTCCACGCGCTGCCCTCCCCCCCTCCCCCCCCCCCCCGCCCCAACCCCGTGGGGCGGCCGCGCCGGGTCCCGGGCGGGGGGGGGAGCGGCCAGTGTGCCCCAGGGGTCAATGCTGGGTCCCGTCCTGTTTTTAACATCTTGGTGAATGATCTGGGTGATGGGGCCAGGCGCACCCTCAGCAGCTCCGCAGGTGACAACCCGTGGGAGGAGTGGCTGAATCTCCAGAGGGTCGTGCTGCCGTCCAGGGGGCACCTGGAGAGGCCGGAGAAATGGGCCAGCAGGAACCTCCCGAAGTTGTGAGGCACTGGCACAGGCTGCCCAGAGGGGTGGTGGATGCCCCGTCGCTCGAAACATCCAAGGCCAGGCTGGACGGGGCTCTGAGCAACCTGAGCGAGTTGAAGATGTCCCTGCTCACTGCAGGGGGGGTTGGACTAGGTGACCTTTAAAGGTCCCTTCTGACCCAAACTATTCCGTGCTTCTGATTCACCGAGGAGATGCGCAAAGTCCTGCCCCTGCAGAGGAACAACCCCGGGCACTGGGACACGCTGGGGCCCACAAAAAGGCGGCTGTGGGGCTGGCGGGCACCCAGGTGAGCGGGAGCTGCGGCCCAGGCCCGTGTGTGCGGGGCTGCCCGAGGCAAGGCGCTGCGGGGGGGGGGGGGGGGGGGGTAAGAGAAAGGGTGCTGGGCGCGGTGCTGGGGCCGCCCCTGGGGTGCTGGGCGCGGTGCTGGGGCCGCCCCTGGGGTGCTGGGCGCGGTGCTGGGCTCCCCGGTACGAGGGAGCCGTACTGGGGAGCCCAGAGCTCAGCCCGCCCCCCCGGTGCGTGGGGATGGGGAGGACCCACTCGCGACGCCCGGGGGAGGCGGCGGGGCCGGCCCCGCGCTCCGCCCGGGGAGGGGCGGGGGGGGGGGGGCCGGTGCCGGTGCCCGGGGCATGGCGGGGCTGCCCGGAGCTTCAAGGACTCGGAGCGTCCCCCCGGCCCCCTCCGCCTCCCTGCCCGCCCTGAACGGAGCCTTCCTCCGCTCGCCACTCGGGGGGCTGATGGTAGCCCAGGCCGTGAGTACGCAACGGGGAGGGGGGGGGGGGGGGAGGCACCGAGAGGCGGGGGGGGGGTTCGGTTTCTCGTCCTCACGCCTTTTGGCGGTTGTAACTCGGGTGGACGCCCGGCAGCTCCCAGCCCCGGGCACGGGCTGACCCGCCTGGGCAGCCCCGCAGGGCACAAGCCGGGGGGGTCCGGCGGGCGGGGCTGGATGGAGCGCGGTGACCACCGAGGTGTGTTGGGGTTGCTCCGGGGGGATGCTCTCGCACTCCCTGGGCACTCCAGGTTGTCCTCCTCAGCGGCCAGGCTTCAGCGGCCGCTCTCAGAAGGATCTTTGAGTCACCAAAGCGAGCAGCAGCGTCGCTTTTCTGTTGCTTCAGCATCGGAAGCAACCACAGAATAAACTCCTGCTGCTGCTCTCCCCTGGTACCCGAGCCCTCGAGTGCAATCTGTGGCGTGTAGGGGTGGCAGTTCAGCCACTTGTGCCCTGCCCCGGTGTTTGCCCGCGGCGCTGCCCCACTGCAGTGGGGAGCCCCTCTCCCCAGGGCAGCGTTGGAGGGGGGGGAGCAGAGGGACCTGCCCGGAGCAGCCGCTGTGGAGCCGCTGGCATAGACCTTGCTCCCCGCTTCAGATTTGGACCCCCGGGCATGGCTGAAGGGGTTGTGATCCAGGAACAAATGCTCCGGGAAGGGTCGGGGAAGGATGCTGCCAGGGGGGTGGCCTGCGGGAGCATCAAGAGAGACGGAACCAAGATCAACAGGAGGGATCCTTCAACCCCGTACCCGGTTCCCCCTTTCCAGCCTGTTGCTGAGGCCACGCCGTTAAACACGCTTGCCCAGCCACCGAGCCCCACTGCTCCGCAAACCTCTCCCCTAAGGGCTCCTGCTTTCCTCCCCGCAGCAGCTGGAGCAGGGCAGCTCGCACATGCCGCCTTCCCACTCGGGGAGCACGCTGACTTTTTCCTACCCATGTTTCTCCCCAATGCATATTTTGCGATCACGAGTGTTAGAAATCGATGTGACAGACAAGGAGGCATTGTTGGGGCAGCCAAGCACCAGGGCGTTGTACTTGAGCAGGACAAAGGCCGTTGTGTTTCTTCCGTGACAATAAGCAATGCAGGTTACGCAGGGGCAGAGAGGCTTTCCAAAGAGCCCTTCTCCTCCCCACCGGTGGGAGATGACTCCACGGTTCCCCTGCCAAAGCAGAGGTGAATGCAGGAGCCGGGTGGTGCAGGCGGCTTCACCTGGCTCTGCCCAAAGAGATCCCAACCCCAGCTGGGAACCAAAATACATCACGGCTGCATCTGGGGCAAGTTCTCCCCCCAGCCTTGCCATGGGCATCTCCTCAGGTTGTTCGGTCATGCTGGGCAATCCAAAGTGTGCAGGGCTGGAGCTTCCTTGCTCCCCCGGCTCCCTATTTTGCTCTGGTGCAGCCAGGAGGTGATGAAGGGCGGTGAAGCAGAGCCCACCAGCACCCTGGCAGCTGCCGGAGCCCCGGCTCTCCGTCCTGGTGCACAGGCTGTGGTTGAGGCTGCAGAACAAACAGTGCAAATCCCAGAAAGCACCATATGCTTTGCAACAGCCATATTTTTTTTTTTTTTCCCAGGCCCCATCGCCATGTGCTGGTATCTCAGCCTCTGCTTGCTCCATCATGGGTTTGGGTCTTTCTAAATAAAAAATACCCACAAACTTGCTGCCCCAGGGAGTTCCCGAGGGAGGGGATGGGGGAGAAGGCGGCAGCTCCCTAGCCCCATTGCTGTGGGCGAAGCAGGTAACATCTCCAGAGTCCAAAGATCAGGGGTGGACATAGTACGGGGAGGGGAAAGAAAAAAAGTAAGAATAAATGAAACACCACCTGGGCTGGGCTCTTCCATCCCTGCCTGCCAGGGAGCCAAGAGCAGAGACCTGCTGCCTGCCACTGCCGCTGCCTTGTGGGCTCTGCTGGGGGCTGCAGGGAGGGGAGAAAACAGCTCTGCCCTGGCTCTGCTTAATTTTCCTTGGGCAGACACAGAAACAGACTCACCTACCTGGGTTTTTTTGTGGACCAGTCTGCGGGCACACGATGCTGCAATTGCTATGCAGCTAAGCCTGCTGACCGGTGAAAGGTGAGCCCAGGGAGCTGTACATACAGGAGGTATAAATCAGACCAGACCTGACCAAACAGCGGAGAGAAGCTGAGAAGCTGCACCTGGGGGAGGTCAAAGCTGAGCTGGGGCCCCAGGAGCCCCCACACATCCAGCTCTCATCCTGCCCCCTGAGCCAGCACCTGCACAGACTGGCCCTAGGCACGGGGTCCTTGCTTGAGAAGGGACCTTTGGTGGTGAGGACGCCCAGGTTTCACCATCCTGCCCTGCAGGACATCCCCGTACCAGCTCCTGGAGTAGCAGTACTGGGCAGACAAGCCCATCCCTGAGCAAGGAGGGTCCTAGGTGGGCTCCCCGTCCTGAGATGTCCCCAGGGTCCTGCCCTGCTCTGCAGCTCTCGTGTGTCCCTGCTTTGCTGGAGCCACGGTCACCCAACTGCCGCAAGTGCCGGCGAGCCCGGGCTCTGCTCTCCACCTGCAGGAACCACCCCCCAAACCCTTTCCCTGTTTCACCCCACAGGTGCTCGGCTTACTGGTGTGGGCTCTCATCGCCGACACAACGTACCACCTCCACGCGGCATACGGCTGGGTGATGTTTGTGTCCATCTTCTTCTGGATAGTAACGGTCCTTTTCTTCGTGACTTACCTCCTGCAGCTTCAGCTGAAGTTCTATGTGATACCCTGGTCCCTTGTGGTACGTAGCCGAGAGGGAGCAAGCTGGGGTCCCAAGTGGGAAACATCCCAGGGAGGTGCTCTGGGAGGACCAGGGCTTCAGACTTCCCTGGGCTGATGGAACCAAGTCCCCGGCACTTTTGCACAATGACATTCATTTGGCCCCTCAATTGCTTAGAAAATTTTCAGAACGGGGAGCCCTGTATTAATCCAGAAAGTTACACAGCCACCGCATCACTGCTGCAGTCGTGGCATCGACCTGAACCCCTCAGGGCAACCTGGGGTGCATTTAATGAGATGCTAGCCTGAGGTGTGTTCCCAGGGTGAGGGGCTGGACCCTTTCCCTCTGCTTCCCCTGGGGAAGAGGGAGGAACGTGAAACTGAGCCTTTTGCTCATCCCAGCGTGCACGGGGTCTGAGCCCAGACCTCACGACCCCCCCTCTTTGCCTCCCCCCCCCAGCTGATGATCTTCAACGCTACAGCAACCATCCTGTACCTCACTGCCTTCGTAACGTGCGCGGCGGCCGTCCAGCCCACATCCTGGCGGCAGTGGGATTACAACCGGAGAGCCGCGGCGTCCGTAAGTAGCGGCGGGCGGGCGAGGGCCGTGGGCTGGGGCGGCCACCCGCCCTCACGCCCGGGGTGCGCTCCTCTTCCAGTTCTTCGCCTGCCTCGCGATGATCGCCTACGGGGCGAGCACCTTCTTCAGCTTCCGCGCCTGGAAAGGGCTCGGCAGCAACGCGGCCACCAGCCAAGTGACTGACCACGCGTAAGGAGCGGACGGCTAAAGCCCAGCCCATGGGTCAGCTCGTGCCAGGCTCGGTGGCTCGGAGCCTCCCGTACCACCAGGGCTCATCCTTGGGCCAGCCTGTGCTGGCAGTGATGGTTAGTAGTGGGTTGCGTGGAATGCTGCTCTGTGGTCTCTGATGATGCTCCCAGCTGATGTACCCACAGCACGAACCCACCAGCGCCGTCACCAGCAGCCTCACCGGGAGGACGTGGACTTGCTGGAGGCTGAAGCTCCCGCTCGCCCTCGGGGTTCATCCAGATCCTCGCTGGAACAGCTCCGCTGCGGGGGCTCAGCCAGTTCGGCACGCTCCAATACTAAAATTCACTAAACCAAGCCTAGGCTCCTGTCTCCGGTCATTCACAGCTACAGTGTAAGTAATTGCAATTAACGGGATACACAAACAGTGGCCTAGCTGGAGGATGTAGGCTAAGCAAAGGAAAAAGTCTAAACTCTTCTTGTATTGATTTCTAAAAACATGAAGCACAAATGTTTTGCTTTAAATAAAAACCTCCCTAAATCCAGCGCTGGAGTCTGTCAATAAAAGCTTTGTCTTGGTAGAAGGTGGTACATATGGCACGGGATGGAGCGGACGGCAGAGCTGCCACTGGCAGAGCCCCTTGCCCTGCGTGGGGGCATTGCAGCCCGGCCCCCAGGCAGGGGCGAGTTCCACAGGGTTCCCCTTGCTTTGCTTTACCTACACGCACACGCACACGTATACGTGCAAGACTGCAAGGACACGAAGGAGGTGCCAAGGCTCTGATGTTCTCCCTCCTCCCGGCTCGGCGCCGTACCCACCACGGAGGCAACAGGACCACCTATTGACCCCCACGTGGGTTTTGCCCGCCAGCTACAGGTCCTCTTCAAAAATCTAACACTCGGTCTGCAAATGCTCCGGGAACACACCCAGGGGCAGTGCCGCTGGAGAGCACAGAGCCATGCTGCTCCCCTCTTCAACTCGCGACAAATTCACCTTTTATTTCTTAGGGGCACAGGCTGGCGATTGTCAGAACTAGAAGCGACGCCCAGCCAGGTACAGCAGCTTTTCCCTCCACACCCTCCTCGCACAAGCTAATAAAACCAGATGAAACGCGTTCAGTTGATTTCCGGATATTTCTCCACGGGGAAGGTGGGGCACAGTGAGCTACACTGCAGCATTTACTGCCTGCTCTGCCCGAGAAAAGTTTTAACAGCTTGTCTAGAGAGATTCAGGAAAGTTACCTGCGTTAATGGAAGGTGTGACTTGAAAAGGACTGGACAAAGGGCATTAGCCCCTGGCCAATTTGCCTTTATTTGGTTTTCAGTGAGTTCAAGCTTCCACAACTATGAATATATATATATATATATAAATCAGTAATGGTAAGAAAATTAGCCTCTTCATGCATTGTTATGACAACGTTAAAACCCTTCAAATGTGAAATCACACTTGCACACAGGTAGTTCGATATACAGAGAAATTTAACCTCTTTTAAAAGCCCCCGTGCCTGATGGAAAATGCATCAAACCAGGGACAAGTGACAGGAGTGTCACAGAGGGACGAGTTGTTCTGGGAAGAGCAGCCCACACGAAACACACGACAGAGGAGCGCGGCACAGGGGCAGAAATGTATTGCAGGAAACATCGAGATACAACCCCCATCAGAGCAAGAATTCAGGGCCAACCACGCCTTGTTGGTTCTGAGATTACAAGGGACTGTGCTTAAAATACAACAGAACTCCCTTCAGAAGATGACTGCCCAAGGTATTAATTTAAACTGTCTTTAGTTTAAGTAGTTAATTGAAGTCATCGTAACAGAAAAAGAATGAAAACTTTTTTCGGTAAAAAAACGACTGGGGTATTTTTAGCTTTAGTTGCAAATAATTATTTTAGCCCAACCATTAAAATAAGTAAACAGGATCCTTTTAAAATTTGATAAAATCTGTTCCTGACATTAAAAAGTCAACATTATATAAAGAGGTAGGGAGTTAACTGAAGAGTTTCAGTCTGTACACTGACAGTAGAAAACCAACTAGATTTAAGTCTTGTATTTCTCTGATGTTAACCTCAGAATTCACATGACAGCGGAGTTGTATCTAGTTAATATTAAAAACACAACCCAATTCTTTTTTTTTTTTTTTTTTTTTTTCCTGGGAATAAGCATCTCAGAGCATCATCTCTGCTAACTAACTGCCCATGCATGCCTGTCCACTGACTTCTGTGCTCACAGGAAAAGCTGCTTTTTACAGCACAGGGAGTCAGTAGACCTGTAAAAACCTGTGAATCCTGGTGGGGAACCGCAGCTGATGGAGCTTCACCATCTTCACGGCTGTCAGGAGAAGCAGGAACGTGCATTTCAAACCACAGAACCGCATGTCAGCAGTTTTAGGAATGTACTCATATTGCCTTAGCAGGTTACTGTGGCTGAAAAGAGAATCAAATTGAGCTTATGTCAAGTTCACTGGAAAAAAAAAGCCTACAAAGCTGCTTTTGATCAAATCACATCCAGAAGGATTTCTAAAAAGTTGTTTGGTTGTTTGTTTTTTGGTTTTTGTTTGTTTGGTTTTTTTTTTAATTATTATTATATATATATATTTTTTTTTTTAATGAAAGCTTCTGGCTTTCATCATTCAAATTTGAGAAGTGTAAATTTATTGGAGGAGATAAAAAAAATTCTGAAGGGGTAGATTTGTTTTTGGTTTTTTTTTTTTTTTTTTGTTTTGTTTTTTTTTTTTTGTTTTTTTTTTTTAAAGGGTAGCATGTGTGTGTATGTATCTGGATATGTGCATTTATGAAGATTTCAACATACTGGAATAATTCTAGACAAGAAAGTGCAGTCGTGTGCATAACACACTAGAGACCTAATGAGATCAATTACTGCAGCACTCATAAATTTGGTACAGAGTCAAAATACTAGGTGTCATGGTTTGAGCCTGGTCAGCAGCCAAACACCATGCAGCCGCTCACTCCTCCCTTATCTTCCAGTGATAAGAAAGGACAGATGAGCCAGGCTTGGGATTCGAGATAGGACTGGGAGGGGCAGATCACCCATTATGGGCACAGGCAAAAGGCAGACTTGTTAGGGGAAGAAAAAAAGAACTTGGATTTATTACAGACACTAACAACACATAACAGAGTAGGACAGTGAGAAGCATTGCCACATCTTGAGAACACCTTCCCCCCACCCCTCCCTTCTTCCCGGGCTCAGCTCTGCTCCTGATATCTCTACCTCCTCCCCCAGTGGCGCAGGGGCAGGGAATGGGGGGTGCAGGCAGTGCTGCCACTTCTGCCATCTGCGGTGGGGGGAGCTTCTGGAACTTGTTCCTCCTGCTCCATCGTGGTCCCCCTCTCACAGCAGACAGTCCTCCACAAACTTTCTCCAACATGAGTCCCTCCCACGGGCCGCAGCGTTCCCCACACTGCTCCATCATGGGTCACTAACTTCCTCTGACTGGATTCTCTCCCACGGCTGCAGCCCTTCCCGAGCTGCTCCGGCGTGGGACTCCCCCGCATGCTGCAATCCTCCCAGCGCTGAATTACAGCAGTGGAGTCTAGCTTTTCCCACAAGACCTCGGCCTTCTTTGGGCACAGCACCTTGATCAGGCAGGCAGAAGCCACAGGCCATAAATCAATGTCTGCTCCACCGTAGATCTCCATGGGTGGCAGCGGGGGGCCGCCCTGCCATCTCCCCACAGGGTATAGGGGGGTCTCTGCTCCGGCACACCTCCCCCCTCCTTTCTTCCTCCGTTCCTCCACTGACCTTGGTGTTCATGCAGCTGCACCGACTCCTCCTCACCAGTCCCACTGCCCGTCACCACGTCCCTTCTTAAATACGTTATCGCAGAGGCGCAGCTGATGGGCTCAGTTTTGGTGCAGAGGTGGAGCTGACTTGGAGCTGGGGGAGCTTCGAGAAGCTTCTCACAGGGGCCACCCCTATAGCCCCCTCCCCTGCTACCAAAAACCCCATCACTCACTCAAACCCAGGACACTACACTTAGCATTTAAAAAAGTCATTATGGTCTGTTCACAAACTTGCTTAATTTTATCATATCTTGTGTAGCTAGTGTAAGCATGGCTTATTTTTGCCTGTGTGGCTGGGAATCTTCACTAGTATTCAAAAACTATTTCAGTTGAAGAACAAAATCCTAGTACTGCTGAAATCACTCTCAGATGTCAATAAGAACAGAATTTTATCTTGTTTCCTCTTGTAAGACATTCCTTGTCCACAAAAACTTGTCACAGCCTGGCCACAATTTTGCTCTGTCTAGGCCAGGTTCTCATCAGGTGACAGCCAGCGAGCAACACCTTCACTGCTGCTGAAGGGCATCTCCCCTGCTGCATCAACCTGCTGTGGGACACAGCAAAGGGGTTTGCTTACCATGCTGTGTTTCTAACTACTCTTGGGCTTTTAAAGACATACTCATGCTGCCTGAGCACGTCATTAAGCAGCAGATTAATGTGCCTGAACAGCATAAGAACAGAGCGTCCCTGTAGGTCCCAATGCAGTTTAATTCCAACCACCAACGGAGATGTGCCTGGGGTTTTGCAACAGACTTATGGCTACAATTCCACCAGCAAGCCATTCATCTGTTCTTCAACGGATGCTGAAAAATGCCTCGCTGCACTAATGCTGCTAGCAGTTTAATAGTAAACACACGCCTTTAATCCGCATGCTATTTAGAGCTGGAAATGCCATGGTGGTAAACGTGTCTGTGCCCAACCTACTGTCAAGCTTATATTATGAAAACTAATGCAGCTGTGCCACTGCCAAAAAGAAAGGAAGAAATGGCTTACATAGACCAGATTTTGGTTTATCGTGGTTGTTTTTTCCAATGTAGGATAGCTGGGGTCCAAACAAAAGTGATTCGGAGAACTTTGCCTATTAAGGATAAGACTTATAAAGCCAGAGAGCAGACAGATTTACACAACAACATACCAACTGTCAGAGATGAAAGAGTCTTACGCTAGAATATCTACATATTAAAACACATTCTTCCATTAGAAAGCTGTAGGACTGAAGATCATATTAAAGTATTTAAAAAAACCCCAAAACAACAAGACATTGATGGGGAGGAACTCAGAGGTTATGTATTTGCACCTGTCCTTCCAAGAGCTGGAGGGATGTACTCTTTCTGCACTGCCTTCTTGATTCCGAGTTCTACATTTTGGGGAGATGGTGAAGATGCCAACCCAAATAACACACGCACAGGCCTATTCGTTGTCCTCACAGTGTGCTGGGCTTCTCAGCACACGCCACGGTTAGCCTGGTGTACAAATACTGTGTATTTATTAAAAACAATTACTCTGGTAGAGGTGAAATTGTCTTCTTCTGTGGTCACTGAATACCAACCAGAATTCACAAACAGATGTTTTTAGGATCGGGCCTCTGAAGGTATAGGCAGGAGGGTGAATGAGTTTTCGTCGTGTAGAAGCACCCTGACTGCCACGACCCTTAGTGTTTTAATGTCCACATGAAAGCAGCAGCACTCATCTGGAGAAGGAAAGTAGTACATAAACTGTTCTAGGAGGAGGATATTGATGATTTATTTAATGAAGTCACCACTAACCCGCTGCTTAAATCCAGGCTTCGACCTTCTTTTTCCTAGAAACATGGAAGAAAAAGAAATCCATGACTCAATGCTGTTTTGGAATAGGCAGCTCAAAAAATGAAACAGGCAATACATATTCTATTTGTTGCATCTAATCAATGCAAAATTACATGTTACCTGAGCCTCTACGATTGAATGTGAACCCAAACTTCCAGAGGCTTTGCAGGAATCCCTGGAGTAAGGTTGCTGTCACTCTGCCAGCAGCACGTTCAGGCAGGGCAGTCTTGCTTACATCTGATGAAGAATGCCCAGCCAGCAGGCTCATCCAGTGCTCAAGGGACGAGTGAAACCTGGCTTCTGCAGTTTGCCTCTCAGGAGAGCCCAAAGGTGCAACCCCCAGCTGAAACCATTCCTGCTGCTGGGACACGGACTGCCTCTTTATCCTCAACCTGCCTCCATTTTCATAAAATCTAAAGGGGTGGGGGGAGGCAGCAGAGGGCATAACTCTGAAAACAGTTTTGACTGTTTTGCTGCTTTGTCAAATGTGACTGGACAGACACTGGGCAGCATTTACATCTATTTAATTTCTCTAGGAAGAAGCTCATCCAAAAGCCTTAATACCTTTGTTTGTTTGTTTCTCTAGCCTGGACAGAGAGGAAGAGAAAGACAAATGGAATAAACTAATTTCGGATCGGTGAGAAAAAAAACAAACAAAAACTGAAAAGAATCACAGAATGGTCAAAATGGTAAGGGGCCTCTGGAGGTCATCTGGTTCAAACCCTGTGCTCTAGCAGGGCCACCCAAGACCATGCCCAGATGGCTTTTGAATATCTCCACAGATGGAGCCTCCACAACCTCTCTGGGCAACCTGTGCTAGTGCTGGGTCACCCTCACAGTGAGAAAGTGTTCCTTTACATTCAGTTGGAAATCAACATTCAAAGATGCAGAAAGCCTGTGTTTCCGAAGAACTGCTCTACAGGCCAGCTTCATTCATGTTTCACAGAAATTATTAAATGTGCATGTTGAGTTTAAATAACTACTCAGTGAAGTTATTTTCTTTTTGACCTGGTACAGCCTTTGAATAAATGCTGCTCCCTCCTGTAGTAATATTACCTTTGGTACTCTCAGGCAGAGCTACACAAAACCAACAGCCATTATTCCAATGAAAATAAACAATGTGACACACTTACAGCTCTGTAATCCAAGAACATTTCTTTGAAAGCCAGAAAGTCAGTAAATGTGAGAAGCATATCAAATATATCACCTGCCATTTCATCTTTACGCTGTCTGTAGGGAGAAGAAATTGGGAAGTAAATTTGTTATTTTAAAATGGTATGAGGTCAAAAAGGATACTAGGACAAAACCAGAACAATATCAAAGTTTAAACAAGAATGTTATTACTGGTCTACCATAAAGCAAAACTTTAGCTGAATATTACCCTGCAGTATTTCTCATCCGAGAACATTAACAGATTATATTTATCGAAATCCGAGACCTAAGACTATCACATCTGTGCTTAAAAACAAGACAAAGAAACTGACTTGTGAATCAACAGAAGTAACACTCAACTAGCATTTATCTGTTTATTTATCTTGAGCACTGAAACAGCTAGACAGTCCCTTGGAAGGTGAGAGAGGTTGGGGAAAGGCACAGAATGCTCACACACATCCCCTGAGAATAAGGGACTGTCCTGACGACACTTAGTAGAAGACTTCTGATGAAAACACTTTTGAAGAAAGACTCTGTACTCCCATAGCAGCCTACTTCAACAAGACTTTGTTAACAGTCAAGGGCTGGGGTTTTCTTTGTTTTGTTTTTAATTATTTAATTCTTAACAAAAGGATCTTTACCTTAAAACAGTCTAAGTGTACTGTGTGCATTCACATTAACTTCCCAATGTCTTCTTAAAAAAAAAATAAAAATAAAATTGATTCAAATACTTTAAGGTATCTAGTTCCCAATTACACTTATTCAAGGGGAAAACCACTGATCTCTCAGAGGGATCTCTTCATGAAGTTGGTTAACCTAAAGTGACCAAATGCAAAAGCTTAAGACAAACCAAACTCTTCTCTGAATGTTTTGCACAAGAACTGCAATAAAGGCATTTTATCACGACTCTTGAAAACTACCAGGCTATTTAAGTGTCCAACACAGAGCCTGAAAAAGAGAAACGAGACCTAACCTTTTAAGGGTCTAGCTTCAAAGTAACAATGATTATGAAAATGCTCTAGCGTTCTCATTCTGATTTCTCTTCCTGCCCCTTAAAACCCAATATACTTCAGCATGACAGTTCAGAAATTTAGAGTTAGCAGGACATGCTGAAGGCAAGAAAAGTGGTCAATCATTGCTTGTATGAACGCTTTTTTTCCTTTTTAATTAAAGAGGAACCTCATTCTAAAAGGAGAACTGTCAAGCCTAAACGTTAATCTAGATCAAAATAATTAATTGAGAGGCACATAAGCCGCTCCCCAACCAAAAGCAAAGCAGAGACTTACTGCAATGACATTGTGAAAGCAGTCATATTAAAACCGGGAATTCGATCAAGCAACTTTTCTTCAATGTATTTCTCTACTAAAGAGATCTGAAAAACAAACAAACAAACAAACAAACCACCCCTGTAACATCATAACAAAATTCAGAAACAGGTTTCAACATAGTGCATCTTCCTTACACTGACAACTTATTGACACCCTGTATTATCCTCAGTGGGAAACCACCTGCAGATTCCTCAGCTGGGCATTGCTAGTTCAATTATTCACACCACCACTGAGGTACAGAGCTGAACATTTTTGTTGGGAATATTGGTGAGAACAAAGACTGACTACTTGTACCTAGTAACAAATTATTTTTAATTCATTTAATAGTACTGAATATTAGGGTGGCATAGTATCATAATTATGCTTTGCATTAAGCATGCAAGTGTTCAATACAACTGGAAAATAACAACTTTTGTTCTGCACACATGTTAAATACATTATTTACTACAGCAATGGGCTAAATTTCTATTCAGAAGAGTTACACAACTTCAAGAACATCTATAGAAATTTTCAGGTGCAACAATGAGAAGGGAACCTAGAAGCTCCAGAAAACATCTTTCTTGCTCACAGATCGTGACTGTGCTTCAGAAAGAGACAGCAAGCAGTACAGCAGGCAGTTTGTTGGCTCTGCTCCATCTAAACCCAGTATTTTATAAAGGGGGGAATACAGGACCTGATATTGGCCTTGACGAAAAATAGAAAAGCAATACATATGAAAAATGGGAAAAATCTATCTTACATATTCATTAAAAATAGATGTATAGACAAGCTTGTTTTCTTCTGAGTCATCAAACTCCTGGTAGTGCTTCTCCATAAAAGTCCTCTGTATTAACTGGAAATCATCATCTGGACACAACAAACACGCATCATACAGTTACGAGTTTAGTCATTCCTTTTGTAACACAAACCCCACATTGACTCGTCCCCTGCTTCCCTCTTGTAACCACAGAGCTCTGTGCACATGCAGAGTCAGCCACCCCAGTACCACAGCTGCTGCCAAGCCACCGTTTCTGACCCATCTGCGAGAAGACCGAGGCTGCGGGCAGGGGCAGCGCTGCTTCAGATGAGGGAGACGAAACAACTTCAGATAAGGGTGAGAAACAACAGCGCAGAAGCCTATCGGCTGCATTTTGACAGCCTCTGGGTATTCAGAATGGAATGGGATGAACCCGTCCACCTAGCTACTTCTCATAAGTTCCTTTTACACTTAGTATTAGCAAAAACATCCTCCTGCTTTAGACTTTATTAATAACGTTATTTAATCTGAACCCCTTTTTGTTCAGGTTCTCAAGTCAGCAAAACATGTATCTTTTTTATAAAGTGAATACCTCTTCCATACAAGAATTCAAATATTTTTTCCCCTTCAATTAAAAAATATTAATGAAATTGCCCGATTAATTTTCAATTGCTAAACGTTTGTTTTTTTTTTTTTTTTTTTTCCACTTGTGGAAAAAATAAAATTAATAATAAAAATTAACATTATGGGCCACCACTGAATTCAACAGAACAGGTATAAAGTTTACTTACACACAGTGTTAAAATACACCAGTCTCAGCTGTCTAAACCCTAACACAGTGAATTTTAGTTTTGTTAGCATTTCTCCAGATTCAACTACATCAGCCAGCAACAGGATGTAGAATCTACATCTCTCTGGGAAGGATGTGGTCATCTCCCCTGGGGGGCCGGGCTGAGAGAGTTGGGGGGGTTCAGCCTGGAGAAGAGAAGGCTCCGGGGAGCCCTTCGAGCAGCCTCCCGGGGCTTAAAGGGGGGACAGGAAAGGTGGGGAGGGACTCTGGGTCAGGGGGGTGGGGGTAGGACAAGGGGGGTCAGTTTTAAACTGGCAGAGGGCAGATTTAGATTAGAAGTAAGGCAGAAATTCTTCCTTGTGTGGGGGGTGAGGCACTGGCCCAGGGTGCCCAGAGCAGCTGTGGGTGTCCCCTCCCTGGAAGGGTTCAAGGCCAGGTTGGACGGGGCTGGGAGCCCCCTGGGCTGGGGGAAGGGGGCCCTGCCCGGGGCAGGGGGGGCACTGGGGGGGCTTTAAGGTCCCCTCCAACCCAAACCAGTCTGTGATTCCATGATAAAAAGATTATATGCTGTTCTTATGAAGCAGCTGATGGCTTCTGATGAATTTTGTCTTGGCATCTTGTAAACTACCTTTTTGCACGCACTGACTTCTCAGTTAAAATTTTGATCCTGAGAATGTAGCATCTTTTACTGCCTAAACTCACACGATGAGATTGGTGCTATTCAACATTCCTGCTATGAACAGGTCCAGCCACATTACAGCTGTATGCACACATGCAAATTACATGCAACAAAATCAACTCAGAAGGATAGTCTTGAAAAGTGGCAAGATGCGATACCATTCTCCAGTTATGCAATGCTGCTGCAGAAACAGAGAAAATAAACTGTTCTCCGTGTTCAGCAGAGGCTGGACAAGGAACAACATGCTGAAACTGCTGCACAGGCGCTTCATGCTACAGATTACCAAAGGCTGTTTGCAGTAGAACAATTAGGCACTACAGTAAATTGCCCGGACAAACCATGGCAGCTTCTAAGAATATCTTGACAACCACATCAGGAGAGGTTTAGGCAGAGTTGGGAATAGAAGGCTACCTCTCACAGTCTCTCCTATCCCCTTTATAAGAGAGTATAGAAGTCAAAGATTTCTGGGATTTTTATGAGACATTTACAAGTATCTTTACTGTTTAAGAGGCAGTGTATTGCAGCGGTACAGAGAATAATTTTCAAGACCTCATAAACACACTGCTGTGCAAACAGCACACAAAAGACTTTTGTGTATGTTTTTACTAAGCTACCAGGTTAGGGGTCACAGAAACAAAGGGAGGAAAACTTGCGTGAAGCAGGGAGGGGTTATTTGAGCTCTGTATGTCTGCTAACAGAAGAGCAGCTTGCAGTATGTTTAGCACCCATCTTGGTGTCTATAACTACTTGCAGATCTTACCCATGATGATATCTTCCAGATACCCAACAACTGCATCAAACTCTGCGTCAGAAGGGGAGGAGCTGAAAGCAAAGAAAGAAGGTACTACAGAAATACATATTTCAACCACAGCAGAAATAAAAGTTAAAATTAAAAAGTGTTAACAAAAGCCTAAACACAAGTAAGCCCAGTAATTACAAGATAAGTGAATAATTTCCTAGTTTCAACCTACAAAATAATCCACAACACTGATAAGACTGCTTCGTGGGGATTCTCATCAGGCGTCTACTGTATTTTCCCCCATTAAAGTGCCCAACTGAGAAAAAATAAATGTTGTTTTACTGGCATTACTGTCAAGGTAATTCCAGTCCTGGTGCAGCAGGATGTAGAGGGTGTAATTAGAACATCAAATTAAGCATTTTCCAACCCACAAATCCCAGCTGCTACCACAAGCTCTCCTTCTGCTCTCTTCCCTGAGTAACTCTACATGGTGATTGCAGAAGTCTAAGACACTCTGGAGAATATTTTGAAATACTTGGTCTTACGGAATCACTTAAACTCAGTGGATATACAATATTATATAACTGAAGAAGCTGAAATATTTTTCTTATGAAACATCCCTTCATGCTATGAATAAATGGCATAATCTCCTAAGGTCATTCAATCATGAGTAAGTATTAAACACAATTGTGGACGTGAAGCCACCCAGGGAAGAAACCTTTGGTACCAGCATTTCAAGACTCTGGATCCCTCTGCTAAAGCTATTTTTGTGCAGCTTGTTCAGACACATTAGATAATCAACAGGATCTCCTTGGCCTTCGCATCCAGAGCTCATCTTGAGTGGGGGATGAACTCTTCCTATATTCTCCAGGGGATGAAAGACAGGCTTTTCTCAGACATGAGGGAAACAAGTCTCATAGGACATTTGTCTTTAAGAAAACAGTTATCTTTGATCAGCAAAAGAACCATTTACATGAAACTAAATGTCTCTCTATATCTCTTTCAAGTGTCTCTTTAGTAACCACCACAGAACACTCTTTCAGACTAAGTTTTAAAAAACTCATTGAAGTTATTGCAGTGAAATTATATATGTTTATATTAGATTATACAATCCAACAACAGTTTAACTATAATGAGCCGCAGGGCTCATTCTGACCAGGAAAAATGAAAAGGTATTTGATTTAAAAAGGCATTCGTTCACCAAATGATGTTCTAGCAACATTTCTGATCTGTTAAACCCTGGGAGACAAGCAAAGCCCAGGTGAGGGACTGGAAAAGCATGATGTTCCACCAGAGGGCACAGCACCACCAGGAGAAGAGGTGGCACAGCACGGTCAAAGCCTGATATACCCCAAGCATCACACTTAGGACTTCAGGCAATAGGGCTCATCGCTTTCAATTTACATGCGAAGAGAGGAGATTTTGCTATGGATAATCTCCACTCCTCTTTTTTCCCCCTCCAAAACAGTGCTACTACTGGCTTTATAGCTTATTTTAACAGCAACAAAAAAAATAAAGCATTCATTTAAACCCCAGTTTAAAGCTCGTGAGACAAATCATGGAATTTTAACTGTTCCAAAATAGTAGGGACTCAATCTCTCTATACAACACACCTGAAGAAACACGCATTCACAAATCTTGTGGTTTAAGCTTTTGTCACCTCATCATGTCTAGTCTAGGCCAGCATAACCTGTGCTGCCAAAGCCACCCAGGCACATAGCCATTTGTGATAGCCTGTAGACTAAAAGAACTAAATCTATGAACCAGACCAAGAAAGGCACAGGCACGTGTTCTCTTCTGCCACAAGCTTTAGGAGATGAGTATGATAGACAAACATAGAGCAAAGCAGCATCTTAGCATTTACCAGTGTAAAACTTGGTTGAGGCCACCTGTAAAAGGTCTCATGTGTAGAAGGAGCACATTCAAACACAGAGGAATAGTCCCTTAGAATCTGCAATACATATGCTATTGAAAAGGAGAAATTTTGGTTTCAAAATGAACACACAAATTTTCAGTCTCACCGGGCTTATTTTGATCATTTAGCCAAGGCTATCTGGGGCCATGCTCATTGTGGTTAAATTTAGTTTGACTTCACCTAAACTCTGAACTAATGTTAACCCGCCCTGGAGCTTTGCATTCTGTACCTTTGTTCTCCTAAGAGGCAGAATCTGCTAATCAGTGTGGTCTAAATTAATTTGTGTAATTATGTTTCTATCAAAATATTTCAACTAGTAATTAGCTTACTGAAAATCTGACACAGAACATAACATACTCACATGGCTACACTGAAGTTTTCTTCATCAGAAGTCTCCATTGTTACTGCATAACCAGACTGGAGGAGAGGCAATCTGCTCTGCTGCTCCTGTTAGTGGCTATTTCTTCCTTTTGGACAAAGTACTAAGGAATAACATGTGACCTGGCATTAATAAAAATTCAATTGCTAAATTACCATGCACTTCTCAAATCAGGAGAGAATCTTGAATTTTTAGACATAGGAATTTAAAAATTACTTTCTTCTAAAGTTACTGCTATTTTTTTTTCCCTAATAACTCAAATTATCTAGGAACTTTCTCTGCATGCTTGAAGAACAGGCTCAAAACACGCGTGCAGTTACTCTCTGTAAAAGGGTTTTAGGGGACCTCTGTATCTTTTTTCCTGAAGCATCTATGACTATTGTACAGACACGAGAAAATGAAGCCAGATAAGATGAAGCAGTCCCAGAGAGCTCACAGGCCAGGATTTGGACAGTGAACCCGCGTGTCAGGCTGGGGACTCTGACCAGCCCTCGGCCCCCGGCTGTAAGCAGCTGCTGACCCATCACACCGGACAGGGCACACAGCACCCCCGGGCTAACCAAGATGGGCCAGCTGGCTTCTGGGTCTGTGCTGGGGACACCCTGCGCTGGCCACCCTCTCGCTGCCCTTCCGAGCAGCTTGCCGAAGGTGGGAGCCAGCCCTGCAGCACTTCCCCTTAGCACAGGAGGAGGGACGACCGTGACCCTCGCCTGCCCCTTTTCGGTCCCGGCTCTCGGGAAGAGCGAAGTCCCCAACCCTGTCCCTCCCCAAGGGGAACCCCGGCACCCGGGCCGCCTCACCCCTTACCCCCCGCCCGGAGCCGGCCCCAGGTCGCGGCCCTGCCCCGCACGTACCGCCGCTCAGGGCCGTCAGCCGCTCCCCGCCATGGCCCGCGGCTCCTCCCCCTCGGCCCGGCCGTCTCCCGGGAGACGCTTCCTTCCGCCCCGCCCGCAGCCAATCGGAAGAGCGGAGGCGGTCGTGGCGGGCCCGCCCACGCCCCGAAAGCCCAATGAGCGCGCGCGGGCAGGGCCTGGCGAGGAGGCGGCTGCCCGCCGCCATGGTGGGCGCCCTACAACCCGGCGGGGCGTCCGGGCCGATTTACCGTCCAGGCACCGCAAGGCTGTCCTAGGACGAAGATAAAAAGTAAACATAAATAACGTGCTCCGCTATGATGCGCTCAGCCCTCTCCGCTGTTATTAAAGTGGGGTTTCCCCTCACAAAGCCCCTGAGGGCTGGAGGTCAGCGCCGAGCACCCAAGCCAACTGAACCCGGGCATAATTTGGGTCACCCCGGCAGGAGTCTGTGCTCGAACCTCTCTCACACACACACACACACACACACACACACCTGGCACTGGGCTTGCCTTTCTGCCTCAAAGTCAACCTCTTCTTCGAGTCAGGGCTCCCGCTTCCACAGCCTGCCGGCATCGCCCTCAGGGGCACCTACACATTCGTAACCCCGGCTCCCAACAGAAGCGAAAGAACTGAAGAACAACAAATAGCCTTCAAGACGTTTTTATTGTTGAATGGACAACTTTGCTACAATTCATTTACTCTTCCGAGGGCCGGTGGAGCCACCGCCTCCCCTCCCTGGCCCCAGAGCCTTTGGGGCACGCGGGGCCCGAGGGGAACACTGCACAGGCGTGGAGGATCAAGCTTTTACCAAGAGCAATCCACCCCCAGCATGGATTCCATCAGAAAGCCAGTCAAAGTGTACAGTCTTTCCCTTTGTGAAATGAACAGGACAGTTCTCTGCAACACAGCTCCCCCTCCTCCGGCGCCGCTGGCTTCCTCTGCCCAGCACCAGCTGCATGGAAGACTGTCTGGGGCAAAATTTTCCAAAGCATTCGTATCTTTTCAACTAAGAACGCAGGCACTTAGTCCCGTGTCCACAAAGGCAGCAAGGCTCTTCCAAAAAATTTTGCCTCAGTTAATTCTGACCAGGGAAACCAAAGCCCTGAAGTTACTAGAATCTATTAAGGCAGAGTTCAAAATGGTTCTGTCCCACCTCTTCCCTGAAGTACGGTTTGTATCTTGGTACCTTAGGGATAAAAACCTATCATTGCATTTGGAAGCATTTAAAACTTCATTTCAAGTGATCCTGAAATTCTAAGATCCTTGTGGCAGTGATGGTGTTCACCTTTGCTCATTCAGCACTGAGCAGGAAGGGACTCAGCCCTGACTGGCAACGTGGATTACAGCAAAACATCATAAAGGACAGTCAGTGAGGAAAATGAGGGCTCCGTGGCACAGATTTGCCAGTCTGACTTTAATCAAGAGGCATCCAAGGTGGAAGAGAATTCAAATTTTAGCAAAAAGACTAACCAGCACTCTGTTTATGGATTCAGTCTATAGCTGGAAAAAAGTCAACAAGAAAATGATGGACAGAACTTTCCTAATTCACACATTATACTCCAGAGTGTCAATGGAGACACTATTTTTTTTTTTTTTTTTTTTTTAATATCTATCTCTGGATGAAATTCAGCACCAAATTCAGTTATCAAAGGCAGAAGGTGAAAGGAACTGTTAGGGAGCTTGATTCTGGGACCTGTGTGCAGAGCTCTCAGCTCCTGTTTAGGTGAGTAGGAAGCAAGAGTACTCAGCAGGAAGAAGCTCTGCTGTGCTAATATTTGATAGCACAATAAAGATAATAAACGATTTTAAAAATAAGATACATCACAGCATGAGAATTAACTACAACAGCCTCTGCTGTTGAATCACGGCCAAGAAGTGGGATGGTTTTGGTCTAAGTTGCGTGTGAATTAGTGAAGTTCTACTATATAGCCAGATAATTTAAAAAAGCGACCTGTCCAAGTCTTGGAAGAGACCTAGTCATATCCTCAGTTGGTGCAAAATAAGCATAACTCCACGGATTTTTGTGCTGCTTCACTGACACCAGCTGTGAACCCTGATTCCTTGTAGAAACCTAGTAAAACGGTCAAAAGCTGCCTGCTGAAATGTATCCTTAACATACAAATGTCACAAACGTGTAAAGTGGAGCAGAGATTCCCACTGTATGATCCCTACCAAAAATATCAAGTGTGGCCCCAAACCTGCTCAGAGCAGGACTGACACGTGGCAAGCGAGGTGCATTTTCAAAGAGCTACAGAATAAGACTGAACTTGCTATCGAAATAACTTTTTTTCTTTTTTAAATAAACTGGCCCCAAATAATTCTCCAATCTTTTAAGACAGCTCAGTATTTCCAAAGTGAATAACCTTCAAAAACAACACTGATTAAAAAAGATGTTCAATGATACCTTAAAAAATACCCAGAATATCAAATTAATTCCAGTCCAGCGTTATAATTAGTTAAGAATACCTCCTGAAAATTATATCCTCACAAAAAAATGTGGGTACTGAAGTTAAAAGCATCAGAAACATTATGTACTTGAAAATACCACCGATCTTTTAACGTTTAAAAACAAAATCAGAACATTCTTTGGAATCACCAAGTTATTAAAACATGTGAGTTTCTCTACAGTCTCCACACCGTCTTTTCAAATCAGTCTGTGTACAGATTAAGTCTTTGAGCAGTTTAATAACCACTGTCGGAAAATACAGTCTCTGACCAGCAGGAGGCTACATTAAACAGGAAAACATTGGCATTCTCTTTTTAGTACTGACTTCTGCCAAAAATAGAGACTTTCGAGCACAAGACAGAACAGCCCTGTTTTAGGAGATATTTCTTTTCTCTTCTTTCCTAAAATGCATTGTACGTGTACTTCCAGTGCAAATTTTTTCAGCACTTGTGACAGGCGAGAAGGGGGAGGAAGAGAGACGCTCTCCTACGGTCTTGCTTGGAGGAACCAATAGCCATAGCACGCTGACCTACCAGCTCTCCTTAACTGTTGACACCAGTCCCCCACTGCTGGCAACTTGAAATAGCTTATTAAAGATTTCATTTTTAAGATAAACAGATTACAGTTTTGCATGAAATCTGGCTGTGGCTATGGTTCTATGTGCGTAAAAATTGGTTAGAGATGCTTTCCCCTCTCAGTACTGGTTGGAGTTCATTAAAAACCAGTCTGTGGTATTTCTCCACGTGTGTCATGAAATGTGAGATATCTGTCTGACTCGGGTTTGTATTTCCTGTCGACACAAAGGGCAGGTCTCCAGTTGCAAGGCACACTCCATGCACAGGTCACTGAAGGAGAAGAAAATTCGGTTAAAGTCTGCATTTACAGTATGAAAAACTAAATGAAAAAAAAAAAAAAAAATCCAAGCACTAAGCAGTTTAGTTAGCCTGCTAGGAACACAGTCAAGATAAGTCCTTCAGTGTGGAGATTAGGAATTGCAAGTCAGGTGTTGTGGATCCAGAGGCTTTGAGAGAAGTTCCTGCTGCTCAGCATCTCACAGACCTGAAACTGCTAGGAGAGTTGGTCGGGATTACACTTGCACGCTTTTGCTAATCTTAACGCTTCTCTGGTCTGGAGAACAGCAGCCCCAGTGCCCTGTGTGAAGCTGTCCCCGCTTCTTGTTGAGGCACACCTCTTTATCTTTGCAGCATCCAGACAGAAGACCAATGCCAAGACTGCTTCCATGAGCGCTCTAAAAAATGCTAAGGAACCAGACTTAACTAGATTAAATTCCTAGTAGGCTGCTTAAATGCAGGAAAGTGCTTTATGGTATTACTCATACTGCTGTCCCATTTTTAGCTTTTAGAGGAATATGTGACTTGAGACAATCCATTTGTTGAACATTTAATGAGTATTTGAGTATATAATTAATTTTCTGCTCTCCTCATGTGATTTGGATTTCACAGCACCAGTACTAAACAAGTACTCACCAGTAAAACCTCTGATATCAGGGAATTATGGCTCAGTAGCCCAGAGGCAGCATACGTACGTAGCCATAGCACTTCCCCAATCCCAAACATACAGGCAATTAGGGATTAAATATGCTCAGGGGTAGGGTGAGGAGAACAGTGGAAATACTATGCTTAACCTCTATCTGTCACATCCTTAAAAGGAGGGGTTATTTCCTTTATGCTGGGGAGTCAATCAAGATAAGCAGGGACTGCATCTGATCTCACCCAAGCTGAATGTCAAACACCCATTTTCCTGTTTCTTAGGTTTTGGGTTTGTTTTTAAATGTTTTACCTGTGTCCACATGGCCTGAGTTCTGTGTCTGCTACCTCATCACAGCAAAGCGTGCAGCAGTTCTCTCGGATACTCACTTGCTTCAACAAAGCCAGGCGCCTGTGTCTGAAGAGACACCCCCCACACGCACGTTAGTTTGACTCAACATGATATTCATAACTCTTCTGAGTATCGCATCAAGACCAATGCAGCACTTGCCTGTGCCACTCAATACTACTGCTGATAAACATCGATCATAACTTCCCACAAAAAAGGCTTAATACACCCAGAGATGTTCAGAACAGTCTTCGACTCCCTATTCTGGTCTGTCAGAGGGACAAAAAGGGTGTTAGATTACAATTCTTCTAGCTCTCACAGCTGAACACTTCAAAAAATTTCGTTAATATCTGTGTACTTTTAAGAGTTAAGGAGAAAAAAACAAATAAACCACACAAACCTATGTATCAACAAAATTCAGAAACCCTATAATGCTGTAATACCGTTTAAAAGAATAGAAATTGAAAGTAAAATCAACAGCCTAGTATGGCAACTGCCATAAGGGAGAGTAAACGGATAAAAATCCCCCATATGAAGAAGTAAGACATTTCAAATTTGGAACACAGACACTACCCATCAAAACTGTTTAATGGCAGCGTGACATGTCTAGCCCAGACTATGCCCCAACACTAGATGCATTAAATTCAGCACAACTCTAGATCCGTTTATGTTAATGCCTGTGTTGGATAATTAGGGTCCACTCAGGCCCTTGCCTTTTTTTCCCCTATCACTTTTAAGATCAAAGCTATTGTTTAATTTAGGATTGGCTTATCGTTTCCAAACAGTTCAGACTGTAGGGCAGGGATGATCTTTGTTTGCACAAAGAGCAACAGTGTCCAGCCTTGAATGGAGCCTTTCAGTGCTATCCCATATTAAACAGGCTCTAACACAGGAGGCCGAGTTTCTCCAGTCAGGCATCCAACAGGAAACCAGTTTCCCCCAGTTTCTCTCTACACCTTTTGGCACAATTGAATAACAGCTCTCACAGGTAATGCTTCAACATTACAAGAGTAGTGCCAGAGTAGCATCAATTTTTTGTTTTCTTTTTAAGCACTAAGATACTTAAGTACCTCAAATACACCTGATCAAACAGCTAGGTAATTCAAAACCAGCCTCTGAATTTTATCCTATATCCTTCAACAACCTCCACCTTCACTTAATTAGATTCAACAAAAGATTATTTCAACCACATACATCAGTACCACTCTAGAGGGCCATCTTTAGACAAAGGTGCAAGTCTGGGGTACCCCATATCCCAGATTAAACGGCATACTGCTACAGTTCGTGTTCCAGTAAGTTATTTATTGCTAATAACCTACGGCAGAAAAAGTTGTTAGTTTTCATTCCTGCCAGAAATTTGGTAAATTAAGGAAAAATGTATCCAAACCTCCTTCCATCTGGCTTGATCTATATTTAGGTAGGAAAACACTTCTAAATTTGAATAAGCTTTGTTGGTACTATCATTCACAAATGGGAAAATTTTCACCTGGATCAGAAAAGAAGGACAACTTCAAGTCTTTCAATCATTCAGTACCCCCATGCTGCTAACATCATAAATTAGGTCAATTTTAAACACGACATCTTTTTTTAATTAAGACTATACCTCCTGAACCAACCTCGACATTCTTAGACAGCAGGAGGTACTTTTACTAAAAACAGTTCACTGTGCAGTACTAGTTAATTTTAATTTCGCTTAATATTACAAAAAATTATTTTAATTTAATGGATTTTGCTTGTTTTATTTCCTGTCCTACTCATGTTGCACTGGAGCCTATGGTCTAATTATTTTCTGAAAGAGACCTATCGAAGCGTGACCCCATAAAAGATTAACTTTAAGTACAACATAAGACTAAGCAACTCTGAATAGAAGCATTTTATTTCTCCATATGCACACACATTCAAACTAGACAGGAGGATTACCTGGGCAAAATGATTTTCTCTTCTGCTGTCAGAAAGGCATAATCATTAAAAGTACTAAACTTCATTGATGGTGAGTACTTGAAAGGTTTTGCCCCAAAGTTGAACTCACATTGTTGATAGGACATGAAACTAGCTGCAGCAAAAAAGCCAGATCTGCAATATGACGAACAACAGACATTTTAGAATGACTTAAACAATTATAGGGCTTTTGAGACATGTTACTACTATTACCAGACAAAAATATACCCTGAAAGAGAGACAAGTTCTTTCAATAGAAGTGTTCTATTGGGAGCTAATTGGGAGAAAAACCTCTAACACATACAGTTTCAGCTGCACATACTTTCCTTGTTTAGTTCTCAACTCCTGAATTTACTACCAGGGTTTATCTGAATTTACTGCTGAGTCAGCCAATAAAGGCACCCTACTCCACACCTAGGATTAGTCACACTAAGAGCCGATTCATACATCTAAACAGCCTATAACCTGATCCTCTTTATACTGATCAGCTCAGATACTTCCTTCAGCACATAAAAAAAATCTTTTTCTTCCAAACAGCTGCTGTTTAGCAGTTGCAAGGAGCAGTACTAACTGCAAGGGATACCTCCACAGCCACCAACCCTGCTGCTTTGAGTAGGCACAAATGTGAGGAACTTTAAACTCTCATACACTTGTTGTGTGGGATCTGCGGAGGATGAATCCAGGCCTGAGCTCGCTTAACACAATGCCCATCTGTTCCCCCTTGCCCTTGCAGGATTTCCTCAGGACAGTTGTCTTTTCACAGACACCTTGTAAAAACACCGTAACTATCATATCTTTCAGTTTTATTCCCAAGTTGACTAATACCCTAAATTCTAATCAAGTAACAGAATCCGTTGAGTATAGAAATTATATACTCCACATGAAGAACAGAGTACTGCAAGCTGAATAGGCAAGATATTCTGCAACACTTTGAACTATTTTGCTTGCATCTTGAACTTCATTTTGAGGAGAAAATATGAATGAGATTAGCACAGAAGTACTGTAATGTTTAATTAGACTGCACAGCGTTTCTCTCAAGCATCACACCAGCGTATCTTTTCAGAAATAAAAGGCTGAACGTCTCCATGAGAGTCAGAGGAATTAGCCATGTGTTAATCTTAACAGAGTTGGCAAAATAAGCCTAACACCTTTCTGCAGTGCTACCCAAGAGACGTCCTTCTGTGAATATTCGATATGCTGCTACAGAACTGGCCCCAGTGAACAGCAGCAAGTTAATACATACTCTTCAGCATTTACAGAACTGAGGCTTTATTCTCTAAAAGATCAAAAAATCCTCAAGCATTACTAGAAATTTCTTCATCTTTAATACAGCCTCATTCTATTTCAATGCTGTGTGAGTCTGACAGTAGAAAAAAAAAAGAAAACAATTGAGTTGAACATACCTTTGGAAGATCCAAAGTATTTATTTTGGACCCTAAAATCCACCTGTAAAATTATATCCTTCTCACTGATTTCTAAGCAACCTTCAATTGGGAAACCTGCTTAATGATGGCTTCAGGAAGGCAAATATGAATTTACATCTCAAATGGGAAACGCTTCATATAATTAAAACAATTATCCATACAGGTCACTGTCCTTCCAAATGAGCACATACTTACACAGCAGATGAAAATACTTGCTTCTCAGCAGGAAGCTGGTTTCCATTTAAATAGAAGATCATTTGCTTTTCTTGCAAGTCTAGTAGAAATCCTATTGTGTCTCCTTACATGCAGAACAAAGATAATTTAAAGATTTCACATCTGTTAAATACCAACAGCTGAAACAGTTATTGTTTTAAGTATCACATATCTCACTGTGAGTTGTCTCACTTAAAACAGACTGTTTGCAAAAGCATAAAGGAAGAAATATTGGTACAGACAGTAACTAAAGAAAAAAGCCAGGACAATATAGTAAAAAACAAAACATATATATTTAGTCTGCTAGAGCATTAAAACCTCATAGTTGTAGAAATATTGCAGAGTATTTGCCAGAGCCAGAAAAAAGCTGCACTTTGATCTCCATGGCTATTTTATACTCATTGAAAATATTCTCAGAACACATACTTGCTAAAGTCTAAGCTTCTAATGTGCTTGTAAATATGCTTATTTTTAACAGGCATTTTAATTTAGCCATCCTTGGCAGAAATTTTTAGTAGAAGAGAAGGTGGCAGAGTTCACACAAGTATGGCATGCACAGACTCACTACCATGATTTCAGAGCTCGGATCAAAACCAGAATTTTGCTGTCCCAGTAGTTATCCAAGAATTTAAAGCAAGCAAGACAGTGCAACTTCCCCTTAACCTATTTCTCTAAATTAGACATATTTTAGAGAAGTGGAAAAAAAACCTCTTTCACCCTAGAAAGTAACATTTCAACCCTGTTTGTAGGACTACAAATAATAAGACTTTTTCTTAGATAAGTGTCAAGCAACGTTAATTGGTGCTATGATTTGTACTCTGTTTACGAAAAGAAGAATTTAACCAACAAGATTCTGTTTACACAGATTATGGAACAAGATTGTAGCACCCACTTTGTACATTTAAACCACTGCAAATACTAGTAAAGTCGCAGTATTTATTAAACCTTTAGTATCATCAAGATTAGTCAGTAACTGCTCTGTTTGCACCTACTAACAGTCTTCTAAACACCTGCAAGAGGAAAAAATTCTATGCAGAAATCCAGTGACAATAAACAGCAGAAGACAGACTGAATACCTTCTTTCCAACAGGGATGGGAATGTGGTTTACTTCTGGCATTATACCAGATCAGCTGCCGGCAGCCATCATATGCACAGGAGTATTCATCGTCCCCGATGCCATAACCTTCCTTTAGGAAAAGAGTAAACCATTTCAGTCTGCAGCCATTCCTCACACAGAAGGGCTAAAGTTTATTCAAATAAACCATTCATCCAAGAGCAGGAAAGGTTTTCTCCCACTCCTGTGAAGATAATTTTTTCAAACTAGTCTTAGTATGGTTTTTCACATCAAAACGAATTTGTTGGGTTGAGGAGTGAAGAAGGGGGATATTGTCTCCAAAGTGGTTTTCATTCTCTGTGAGCTCAAATCACTCTTGTCTATTAAAATACTTACATAGGCTAGTACCCAAATAGCTAACTTTTTGCATCTTAAAAAGTCAACATAAAATTGTAACCACTTTCTTATCCTGAAGTCCCAGTACCAGACTTGTAATACCTTCTCCCACAAGATACCCAAGTGACACCAGAACATACAGTACACGAAGTGGACAAACCCATAGTCCCTTCACTGAATTTGTTGTATATTGTGTCCCTTTCAGTGCCAGCCTCCCTCAGGTTGTGGAAAGGTTATCAAGCGACAGTCCCAAGGTCCAAGACCAATGCAAAACTAAAAGTTTCAGAGTGGGAGAAGAATCTGTCACATAGGAGAGCCCAAACATGAAACCCAAAAGCATTATCGAAGATAACTTCCTCGTGCTCTGCATGGTTTGTCTGGGGTGCAAATAGCAGACAATGACTGATTACACAAGCCCCTGATGTCCCAAATTAAAGTTAAGCCCAGCTAACGGGTGTTCAACATCATGTTTAGGACTAGTCTTGTTTTTTTACACATGCTGTAAATAAAGAGCATATGGCTACTCTGATGACTGTGTTTGTGATATACCGAGAAGATAACACCCTTGCATTTCAGGTGGACACCTGATTAACTTAAATAACAGTAGCATTTATCCACCAGCAAGACAACTGTGGCAACAGAAAAGTCATCCTGCTCAGTGATGTGACATCTATTTTCATACCTTGTACAGCAAGCACTGACAGAAAAAATGCATATACACCAAGCTCCTTAACAGTAAGTGGGAAAAATCTTTTAAGCCAATTAGCAGTCTAAAGGCAGACATGTGGCCTTTTGTTTCATACAGCTTCCAGTACACTCAGTGTCTACAATGTGTATGCTCAGGACAGGTCTGTATGGGATTTTTGTTTGGTTGTGGTGTTTTTTGTTTGGGGCTTTTTTTTTTTTTTTTTTTTTTTTTTAATTTAAATAACACTTGCAATCCCTGGGAGTGGATTTGGATGTGATATAGAGATATGTGCATGTTAGACACCAGCAGAGGACAGTGCTATTTACATGAATAATTAGAGGTGGGACAAGACCACTGAACTTGCAGGAAGACTTAAATGGTGAGAAAAGCTACTCCTCCATTCCTGGTGGGTTTCTTGCCACTGGTGTTTGTTTCACCTCCTCAGTGTATATCTCTCATACCTCCCACCATCAACATTTACTCCCATGTATTTATTTGGCCTATCTTCATATTAGCTTCTGTATTTGACTCAGCTGTAGAATGATTTTTTTTCTATAATAATCAGAAGTGAGCAGTTGAAACTGCTTAACTCTATATTATATATAATTTATATTATGTAATTTTTCTCCTAAATTAAATTCCAAGTAGGAACAGAAAGCCACATAATTACAACAACGAAGAAGGGCACAGGTACATTTCTTACTCAAGCTGAGCTAGCAGAAGTGTCAGCTTAAAATCCCAGCTCTGTATTTCTGATCTGGTCAGTGGCAGTAGACTAGGCCACACACACCTTTTGTACTAAAATTCTAGCTTGCGCTTTAATGAACTTTAATGTTAGTTTGGAAGGCTGATAATATGGGAAGTCCTCTCTAAACTGAAGCAGAGAATTTTTTTGGGTAGTAACTGTTATGCTTTCTTAGTATTATGGAAATACTGAGGCAAATTATCATTCAAGATTACTCTTTGACTATAGGTTTGGAATTCATGTGCACATGGCACATTTTGCTTTCACGCTAGTGAGTACTTAATTTTAAAAGTAAAATAGTAGGAAGAAGAATACTTAGAATTAAAAATAAGATACTAAGTTACCTGGATGCGAGGGAGAGCAAAGCAAACTATAAAACAAGACAGTGTACTTATTCTGTATTATCAGAATAAAGGCAAGAAGGTAGAGGGTCTAATCTCTTTGTAATCCTTATTTTTTATTAAAAAGAAGCTGTCACATACCCAAACCGTAACATACTGCTGTTACCAGCAGATCCAATGATACCATGCTATCCCAGAGTCAATTTAAATAATTATTTCCCTTGTGAAAACTAATTTAATAGGAAATAATGTTAAAGAGGGTAATTAAATGGCTGCCTGGTGATCTGTGTAAAAGTGAGTGCACGATCATCTGCTAGTTCCTAGTGAGTAATTGTTTACTTCCAAAACCAGACAGTAACCACCACTGTTATCTAAAGAATTTCCAGGAAGAGACTAAGCCACAAGAAATAAGAAATAACTTCCTTGTAGCTTCCAGACAACAGCAAGTAGATAACAAGCTGTCACTGCTAGTAGCAGTATGTGACTTGTGTGAACAGTGTCACCCTGTAGCAATGGCAATACACCCTTTTCTTGTGCCACTGAATTCAGCAAAAATAGCTTCACAGAAGTACAGAAAAATTGAAGGAAACACACAAGTGCTTAGTTACTACCACAGAATAACCAAAACTATTTTCATATGTGTTTTAAGTAGAAAAATACTAAAGTTACATCATCAGCTAGATGACATTACACATACTCACATGATTGAGAAATTTGCTGTCTTTGGTAGCCCATCCTATCTGCATCACTCCAGAAGTAATGACTGTAACTTCATAGTACCAAACTCCAGAATCGACACAGAACGTACATCTAACGCTTTCAAAGGATGAAGCATCACATCGAGCCTACCGAAGCCAAACCAAAAATTAAGTTTCTACAAAATTCGCATTCAGACAAGACCCTTTCTTCCCTAGATCAAGGTTCTTGTATATAAGAATACACCAGCATAATTTTAGAGGCATTTCAGACAGAAAGTGACCTCTCCTTATAGCAATAATTGTCACACAAACTAGCAAATAGGCAAGACTGAAAATTGTTCAGTGGTAAGCCACAGGGGAAAGAAAACAACCAAACAACCAACAAAACAAACAAACCAACCAAACACACACACACCACCACCCCCCCAAAAAGTAGAAAGTTGACAAAGTCAATTTAAAGATTTAAAGACTAAGACAACCAAGACAGGAAGATGTAAGTCACTGGTTGTTAGGTGACTTCTGGTATGAAGGACAGAGAGATATTCTATGTTAATTCATGAAAATTCATCTGTAAGTAGTCAAACAAATTTTAAGAAAAAGTAACAGGAAAAAAAACAACACGTGGCTATGGGCTTTTCAAGACTAGAGAGGACAAACAATAGGATTTACACTTTGTGAACAATTTTAGTCAAAATCAGTGAAATGCCAGCTGACTCTTAAGCATCCTCCTCACTCTTCTGAAGCTTTGGGGCACAGATACAGGTGTTACTTTAGTGTGAACTTTTCTACAACTGAGATCAAAGTAGCAATGTTACAACTCTCTGACAAAGCAAGTTTTTTTATACAAAGCTGTCAGAGAACTTTGATTCATTCTAGGAAATCACAAGGGCAAGTAGCAAACAAAAATAGTCAAAATTTGACTTTTTCTTCAGACTCCTTTTTGGGTTGAAATCACAAAGTGATATCCTACCTCCAACCCATGCGGCGAGATCTTCAGGTATTCACTGACATCATTACTGTTCAGCATAGCCCTAATGTTGGTCAAGTCAACCTTCTCATATGTAAACTGCCTGCCTTCTTTTAAAACTGCAAAATAAAACTAGTTTTAATCACTGCTGCAGAAAAACTTTATTCTAAACTTTCACACAGTGGCAATCAATCTCTATGGGATCCAGTTAGTTTTTGGCATAACTGAATGAAATATCGACATTTTGCCTGCATGAAAACAGCATCACTTCCAATACACTGCATGTTAAATATCCTCTAAACATGACAGCACAACCTATACCTCTGATTAGAACTCCTACAAGCTAATTACTACTTTCAGGAAACCCATGAGCAAATGTAAGGCATCAAAGTTCATACCAAGATGTCACTGTTTCATGATTTACCGTTATATTTGTATATGCATTTGGGCAGAGTTTTTCTGATTTACAGTGGAAAAAAATTTAGGGATGAGGAAAACAAGGATTTAAAGTTTTTTATGCTCTCATTTTCAGGTCGGTGATAAACTTGAACCGAGCGAAAGCCGCTCTTTCTCCCTGCATCCCCTTTTCACATTGAAGGATCAGAAGCATTTATCTTGCCAGGTGTCAAATTGCTGACACATGCATATTAACTTACAAATCAGAGATTTTCTTAGGATCCTTCAGATATCCCAAACTTGCTATCACACTTACACAAATGCTTACTAAACATAACTGACATTGGCCTTCCATAAGATGGCTAAAGTCCCATAAAGCCCAACAAGACTTTTTACCCATCTTTATCTAAAAGGTGTTAGAAACTACAAGGTCCTTAGAGCTGCTGCACCCTCAAAAATCACAAGCAGCGATCTTGATGATTGTTAGTCATCCAAAAGCATAGATCTAATCAAGTGCTTTGTCAAACACTTTTTACTTTTGATCACAAGACCATATCTTTACTTTTAAAAGTCTTTAATAATTCTTTGAGACTGTGTACTGCTGCAGTATGATCACAGCAGTGACTGTCAGCAGGTAATCCAACTATTCCACAGAGAGACAGAGCTGTACTATTTCGCTGCTCAACACGTCTGCTGAAGTGTAGGTTACAGGAAATACAGTGCAAAGAATAATTTTCATTGCAGCTCCAACTTGCAGACTACAAACCACTTCCTCTCACAAACATTTTCCTTGCCAAAATTTCCCTTCCATGCAATTACACTGGATTTATTTGCCTTTTTTTTTTTTTTAAGTGATTAAAAATGCAGTCAGTTATATTTACAGTAAGTGCTTATACAAAAACAAACACAAATTAGTCCTCCATTGTGTTTAGAGAAATGATTAATATTAAATGAATCCATCCATTATACCTACACAGATTGTCTAAACTCCACTGGGCACAGAATCCAACCTGGCGTTTTAAGTAGTCTGGATTATCTGTCCATTTCTCTAGCAAGATCAGTTGGTCACTAATGCATGATTCAGAAACTGTAATTTTATTTTCACCTGCAATTTAAAAGCAAAAAGGAATAATTGCTATGAAGTAGGGATAAGTTTAGTTAAAAATAGTAACAGTCTACAAACGCATTAGAAACTCCCCCCTCCCCACACCTTTAAACCTCAGTATTACAAACAGCATGAAATTCTTTCCTCAAGCAGATGTGAAATGAACTCAGCACTCAGATACACCACTTCAGCATGGAGCTGCATCATCAAGAGACCATTAGATTACAGCTGTTCTTCATCTCTTTAATGCAGATTTATTTATTTTCAAGTAACAAAGGTGTAAATTCATAAGTCTTTATGTAGCAATTTCTAAGCTGAGAAGGACTGAGTTTTAGCAAATTTCTTAAGGGTTTGCGTGCGGGTGCAGGTGTCATTAAAGCAATAAATACTTTTTCCTGCCTGCAAACACCCAATCATAGCTGTTCTCCATCTCAAATACAGATTTATTTCAGTGACAAAGGCGTCATGTCGTAAGTCCTTCTATAGCAATTTCTAACTGGGAAGGACTGCCCTGAGTTTCAGCAAATATCTCAAGGGTGAGGCGTAGAAGGATGTCACTAGAGCAGTAAATACTTTTTTCTTGACTGTAAGCAAACATTTCTCTTATATATGTGTGTTTACACCAATCCAGTTTCTTATGCTCACAAGTGTTATCAGATGAAGCAAGTGACAGTCATGCAGTAGAAGCCATAGTATGACAGTTAAGAGCAGTATGAGGCTACTACTTACTTGTTTGTGCAAACTTCTCCAGTGCTATTAGTGCAAAAAGCATCACTGTCGGATGGGACTGGAAGTTCTAAACAGGGGCAGTAAGAAACGTTATTAAATAAGTACCCAGCACAGATGGATAGGAAAAGCTGTTAGTCTGTCACAGAATGCTTTAGGTTGAAAGGGACCTCCAAAGCTCCTCTAGTCCACCCTCCTGTGGAGAGCTGGCTTGAGCAGAGCATGCTGCTCAGTGCCTTGTCCTATTGACTTGGAATTACCTCTGAGGGTGGAGATCCCATAGACCCTCTGAAATCTCAGCTTTCTATAACATACGCTACCAGTATTTACCAAACATGACCATAACTTTACACACTAATAAAAAAAAAATAAATTGCATTGTAATTTCTATGTATGGATACATACAAAATGCAAAATACATACATACACCTACCAAGCTGTGAAGTAAATATTCCAATATGCCTGGGCTGAGTAAGCCTATACTCGCAGGACCTACAAGAACATTAACAGTTAAATCCATCCATGAGAGCTACCACATACTCATCATCGCACAGATCTTTTAAACACAAGGCAACACATTAAAGAACATCCGAGATCTTTGCAGCAAATCAGAACTATAATATAGAACGATTATCATTGTTTCCAGTCAAATATTTGCTACACATTTAATAATTACAGTTACTGGCAAATTACAAACATACTCAGTTTACCTGCTAAATGGTACAGTGTTCTTGCCACACTTCTGAGATTCTGAAGACTCCACCAGCCTTTGCTTAGCATTTTCATGCTCATTACTTTCAAAAAGAGGCTGGCTCCCCTTTATTTCCAGAGTCAAAGTATAAAGACCATCCCTGTTTATCAGTAGCCCAAAATAAACAAAACTGAGCATCTAATATAGCCTGCTTAATAGTTAACGATACAATTTGCAGCAGCACCATAGCAAGCAGACAGTTTTAAAAAAATGCCCTGAAATATTGCCTGCTTAATCAAGACAGGTACAAAGGAATCCAACTTTGGCATCTACAAACTCTAACACATTGCAATGGGTTCCAACACAGCATTAGCTGATTTGCTGCCTGAGCTGATACAATGAGATCTGTGTCCACTAAGACGGAAGAAGATACAGGATCTCATTTTGACTTAGTGTAACAGGGTAGAAGTATTATAGTACAAAAATGCTTCCTGCCCTTGTTCTTTACTTTTTTTTTTTTGACAGAAATACTGAAATTATTTTTTTAATAACCATTAGGTGATACCAGACAATCACTTTTTCCTCCTTTTCCTGTCTGCTTTCAGAAGAGAAGCAAAAAGCTAGATACAAAACTGACCATCAGCAGGAAGGAAACTTAATCATCAGTTTCCATCAGGATACTAGAAATGACAGGGGAATAAAAAGTTCTATACAAAATGTCACCCAGCAGTTTTCTTTTAAGTAACACAGAAGAGAAAATCTTTTCAGCTAAGTACAATAAAACAATACATGTTTAGCAGAAAGAGCATTTCTTTTTCGTTTCTATACAGCCTCCAAGACTACTAATTTGATATTCCTGCCTACTGGCTAAAGAACTACATGTTCTCAGTAAGAGCCTGACCACTAGCACTAAGGCAATATATCGTAAACAAACATTGATCCACAATCACTAACCATGCCTCAGAAGGATTTAATCTTTTTAAGTATCTGGGATTGTGAATGGCTCATTCGGACCCAAGCTGGAGTGTTCAACGTCTTAATAAAGCAGTAGATTCTGTCACACAAGGTCTCCCCTCAATGCAGAACATTATTCAGTACTAAGAAAACATTTCTGAACTAGCTTGCATCGTGGGTGCTAAAGCAGAGGTGCTTCAGTGGGCCAAATGCAAGCTTTCAGAAGAATCCCATAGCTTTACCTGCTAACTTCTCTGCTAAGCATCCCAATACTGCAGTTGTATTCCGGTGTTTGGCAGGGTGACAAGCATCCTGGCAAGCAGCAGCTCCACTTAAATTTAGTATTTCAGTTAACTTTTGTAATGCATCCTGAAAAAGAAAAATCAGAAACCTCTTCAACATTACTGACAGATACAGATTTCCCCCTAACTCAATTTAGTACAACAAATTATTTTTACACTATATTACTAAAGTCAGCATCATATTACAGAGAGCATGGGATGGTTATGTTCTAAGATAAGAAGATAATAAAGAACAGACAGGAAGAAAAGCGCAACATACCCAAGAGTGGTAACTTTAAAATGATCATCAGATTGTTGTCTTTGTGAGCAACAAGTCAGGACACTTCTGGTCATACACAAGTTAGCTACCTATAGCAATAGGAACTAGAAATGCAGACAAAGGCAAACAATACCAATCAGCACATATGGCACTGCTGCCACCTAATCTGTTTCCAGTGTCCTAAAACTCACACCCTTCTCAAAAGAAAAGGGCTACTTTAGGCTTTCAAATTCAAGACTAGAGACGTGCCCCCAAAAGAGAGGCCACCAAATTTAGGATGCTGTCAGCTTTACAAGACATCGTAAATGGTATTCTTGAGAGCACAAATGGCTTTCCGTAGTCACACTAATTTAGGAAGTAACCAATGAGGGTAATAAATCTAAAATACCGTGCTTTGACATGTTTCGTTCGGGTAGTATGGTATGGATAAAATTAAAGATAGATCTGGAGCACTCTCTCTATTTTCAGGGTACTTAAGGGTTAACCTAGGGCCAGAACAAGTTACCCCCACAGGGAGAATCCCACCCCAAAGTTCCCAATACCCCTCAGCTTTCCAGACATCATGAAAATTTCAGCTGATTCAGATTGAAACTGCATAATGTCAGGATAGGATCTAATTAAAATAGAAGAACTCTTCATATTGAAGTCATCAGCAGGCCATTTGGAGAAAAATGAGTACTGCTCAAGCTGAATATATATATATATATATATATATATATATATATATATATATATATTTTAAATTGTGTTCTGAGCCACACTTGAATCAGTTTACTGCACTAGAGTGAGGTTTGTACAGAGATCCCACTGAAAAGTAGTTACATTCTCATAAGAAAAGCCATAAAACCAGAACTGATGAGCAGGACTGATGCCAAGTGGAAAGAATAGAGAAATAATAAAGGATGATTGAGCCACAAACTCGGCCTCACTAAAATTAGACTCTCAACATACTCTGATACTGCTTTTAGCCATTATTAGAACTGTCACAGAGATCAACTATTCTGAGTTAAATAAAGAAATTACAGAATAAACAGTTTACTGCACTGCCATTTTAACTTCATGGACTCTATGGCCTACAATAACAGAAAATTCAAGACAGCCTGCTGCTGTTTTCCAGCTGTCACAGAAGTGGGGCACAGACTTAAAACCCTTAAGACCAAAAAACTTAAACTTATCCTGAAGGGAAAGAAAATGAACAGCAGCAAACACTTTACTAGGCTGCATATGACCAGCAGATCCCACAAATGCAGCTCCTTGCACCGTCAAGAGATTGCACAGGAAAACCCACACCTCTGTACACCCCAGAAACAGACATCTTATTCTTTTTGTCTTGTTAAGCTCAACTATTTCATAGCTAACTCCTTAAAATTAAAATACCTAAAAGTCAGGTGGCTTTCAAAAACCAAATTATTTGATTGCCAAGTGCATCATATAGCCGAGAAAAAAAAGTCAGTCTTCATATGGTACACTCACAGTGGTCTCTGTTTCCTGATTTCTTTTTCAAAGCAGGCAAAATTTCTAGTCACAGCTTTGTTTTCAAAAGCATTTTGCAGTCTATGTGACAGCCATCATACAACATTTAACATGTTCAAAGCCTAGGATTACTTTAATCAGTAGTCTAGAGGAAAAAAACCCTCTTCAGGTAGAGAATTTGACCAGCTCTCCAGCTACTCATACATTTACCTAGGACAAAAAGCTACCATTTTTTATATCCCTAACAATGCAAATTGAAAACTAGAGTTGGCAGCATAAGAAGTAGATTGATAAATGAAAGCTGCAATGATGCCATTAATTTCTGAAAAATGAGATCATGACAAGCATTTGAAGACAGACAAGTTCTCTGTACAATCATCACATTTAAAGGAATTCAACAATGGTTAGCATCTTGAAGCACTTGAGGCTCTCACTAACACCTGTACCAACAGTGTGAACACCTCGGGTCATCTTTCCATTCAAGACAGATTAGTGGTCAGTAAAAAACAATACTCAATTTGCCAAAACTGTATCTAGGTGTTTCATAGTTTAAAAATGTCATTTGTTTAACTTAACACACGCACTAGTGTTGCATTCCTCATGTGCAGGGCAGGAACAAATTCAACAGTGACTTGTAAACGCACAGCTTTCAGAATTTGAGAACAAACCAGCAGAACTTGTACTGCTTTTGCAGCATCTGTACACCCTCACAGCACGGCATGCATGTACTACATGGCAGAAGACGACAGCAAGAAAAGCAGCTAACGACCAAAGGCCTCTTGTTCTTCCTCATGGAACAGATTTTTTTTTTCTTTTTTTTTTTTTCCCTTCCCCTCCTCCCTGGTGCTTCTAGCATTAAGTAGCTATTAGATACCAAGTCACCACAAATTACTCAAAGTTGCAAGTTACACACACATTTTCTGAACAGCTAACAGCCTTGCATCACTGGTGAAACCCACCCAGAAGCTTTCATGGATGTGGCAACCATGAATAACAAATTCCACCATAGATAAATACATATGCTTTAGACTCACTTTTGTTGGCAGCGGACATTCATCAAGTAGTAGCGTTATAACAGCTGGTCCCAGGGGATCTTCTAATGGGATAACTCTAATTAAAGATTGAACAACTTCCAACCAGCCTTCATCTGTCAACCACAAAACAGAAGTAACACTCAGAATTATCACTGCAATTCTGAAGTGTTCAAGATATATCCATAAATGTAAACTGAAGAATGCTCAAGATTACCTAGCAAGTTTACAGACACTAGGGGAAAAAAACCCAACCAAACAAAAAAACGACAAAAAAACCCACAAACTCTACAACAATAACAAACAAAAGTTTACTTTTTATACCACTGTCTTAGTTTGCAGTAGTTTAGAAGTTTAACTTCCAGGAGAAATAAGTGAGTTTACAGCAGCTTGGGTAACAGTGAACACCTCTATCGTTTGGCGAACAGTCTTGCCCAGGTCAGAGCATCCTTCAGTTCCCTCCAGTACTAGGAAGGAACACTCATAACCAGTATGGACAAGCACTTTGTTCCAGTGTGATACTCAAGAGCTCAGTGTCCAACTTCAAGTGTTAAATGCTGCGTCCACAGTGACACTGAAAAAAACGTTCTTCTAGCCAGGATCAGAGCACTCTGAGTAAGATGGGCCTCAGAGGAACTGCATTAGCTTGTCCCATGTCTGGTGGTCTAAAGAAAATCTGCTTTCATAAGGAACAGCTCTCACTGTTTAATGAGTAGACATGGGCTTCCACTTGTAAGTGAACAACAATTCACATATAAGATGTTAAAATACTAATACAGTAGACAGATTTGGTTTTACAAAAAAGTAGTTCCCTGTGAAATGAAAAAGTGAACAAGAGTCTGTGTCTGCATACAAGCGGGTGAGGTTGAAGAGACTTAGCACTCCCTTCAACAAGTAAATATAAGTAACACATTGGGGTTTGACTTTTGTTAGCACATTCCCCTGAAAAACATTTTACTGAATTGCTGTAATCAGGTTGATTAATTTATTTTTGTATAGAAATGCATTTCCTAAGACCAGTACCAACTCTACTAAGAGACAAAAATTACCCTAAACCAGAAATTTGGTGGTGGTCTTAAGCTGGGAGACTTTCTCCTGCTGTAACAAAGACAGAACAGCCCTTGCACAAACCGAGCTCATGTTGCAGGAATACTTAGGGACAGGGATGGAACAACTAACTACATCAGTAAAGCAGAGGTCTAAGGACAGCAAAACCTAAACCAAAAAGTATGTACTATTTGCCAACGCCAGAGCACATGGGTTTCAACCATGTCTACATACATCTATGGGTTGTTCGTGCCTTACTGCAAACAGACATTCTTTGTGGCTTACAGTTTAATGCCATTACAATGTGTTTGTGGCCATCCGTTGGCTGCTTCTGGAGAGCTCACATGGGAAGTTTAATGAAGTTAAAAAAAACCTCAGGCAAATGCAGTAAGCTCAGTGGAGTTTCTGAAGGGCAGAAGTGCTTTGAATCCCACATCCCTAGAGCTACATCAAATTGTAACACATATTGCTAACATGTATTTTTCTTTGCAAAGAAAAGATGTTGCTTGCTTTTTTTTTTTTTGTCACTCTGGAGTCACAACTGAAATGCCCACAGTGCCTTGATACCTGTTTCTGCCATTTCATGCAACGTGATCATTGAATAAGGAGGCTCCTGGTCACTGAAAGAGATATTACACAGGTCAATTTATGCACAATCATCAACATAATACATTGAATAAAATTATAATACACAGACAGAAAATGAATCCAGTAAGTATTTAACAAAACGAAGTTACACAGGCTGCAGACTGATAATGCCATTTTCAGATCTGAAACACAGATGGAACTTGAGCCTTTCTCTGGCTCAAAGTCAACATCTGCATATCTACGATAACTGATAAATTAAATGGTGATCCATATCCACATGTCTAAAAGCTGAACGTAATGCTTAGGCTTAGTGCTGCTATTCATTAGCGAGGTTCCTCAGAGTACATAACAAGAGACTGTCAGAGGTCATGAAGCAAACCAAGAGCAGTGCACAAGGGACATAGCTTAAACATGTTTTTTTCCCCAGAAATTCTCTGCTAAATATATAAATATTTTTTTAAACCCCACAAAACTGAGAGGCAAGCCACCCATCAGTAGCATAGACTTCAAACTCATTAACAAGAGCTGTAAGAAACAGTTAAGGCAGTTTAACAGAAGATATTTAACCCAATCCCCTTTCCAACATGAAAAACAAAAAGTTCAATTAGGTCATTTCCTCAGTCTGGTTTGCTGGAGCAAGTACAAGAAGCTGTGGGCAGGTCTGTTTATCTGAGCAGGCACCACCGTTTAAAGGACCTAAAGCAAGATCTCAAAAATCCTATTCAGTAAGCACCTCCAGGTCCAGAAAAAGCTTATGCAGCAGCATGTCCTAAATGCTTTAATTGGTGCTACTTAAGCACTGCAAACTAACCCCAGGCTTAGAATATGTTCCACACTCAATTTCTATCACATAGTTCTGAAATTAAAATCAGAAACACAAAATATAGATGAATTTTAGAAAAATTTCAACACAGATTAATCATGCAGAAAATGAAACTACTTAATTTTTTAATTCATCCCTGCAAAATAAGAGAAAAATCTCAGTTTTGACTAAAAATAGATGATGTAAGTATATGCTTTCCTTACCAAAAAATTAACACATTCTTAAGTATTTCCACTATAAAACGCTAAAGTGAAGTTTAACCCATTTTTGTACTACCATAACATTTGAAATAGTTTTTTGTTGTTTGTTTTGTTTGTTTTTTCCCCCATTCAAGTATCTCTTTCCCTTTCTTCTGGAAACTAATCTCCATCAGGAAAAAAAGTGCGATACTGCAAGCAGAACTACCTGAAGAGAAAGGACGTAAAGATTCAAAGAAAGAAGAAAAAAAAACCCCATAAGTACAAGTAAAGGCTATGATAAAAGAGGATGACATTTTTACCAGCAAGGTTTCTGATTCTGTCATAGGTAGCAGGTGTTAGCAGTACTGACACTGGGCAAGAGAGAGTCTTGTCCCACTGATTTGCCATTTTAACCACTTAGTTTCCAAACATCCCCTCCAGCACACACCTTCCTCATCTGGAAACAAAACAGTCATTTTGCTAATTTCTTAACTTGCAAAGCAGCACTTTATATCAATTCCAAAAATTAGTACTTATCCTTCTGAGGCTAGGAAATGAACCTTAACTCCTTTCCTTCTAGAAAGGAGATATCTCTAGATATGAGAGGAAAAAAAAAATTAAAAAAAAAAAAATCAGTTGTCAGGTATGTTTTAGGTCTGAACTTTGAGATGTGATAAAACATCAAGAAAACCCAAACAAACAGCAAACAGGGAAAGCAACTGCTCATTGCAGATCACAGTATAACAACTTAATTTACAATTCATCTCAGAGTGTTCCTGTGTATTAACTTTCAATATAGAGCTTGGAAAAAAAATTGTCAGAAAAAACATTTTGCCTTCCATTCTTTAGACTGGTTTCCTTCACGCTTTAAGGCCGTACTATCACACTGAAGTCTGTATTTCCAACCTGCTGCTACTTACTTGGTTTCATTTTAGTTTGACTTTATTCTTGCACATTTTTTTGACATGAAAAGAAATGTGTCAGCTTCCCTACCATTTCCTTCAGTTCTGCTTTCAAAACTGAAAAATCAGGGTCTAGGAGGAATAGGGGATAATGGAACATAGTTATTCCTACAGTCTCTCACTTACAATGAAAACCAAGATTTCCAGACATAATTTTATTTTCCCCCTACAAGTGAGCATCCATATTAATCTAAAAAGGGCTATCATTAGCTTCAAGTCTAGCAGAAAGGCTCCTTAAACTTTTTTCAGACACATTTAGATAGTTTGCCTTGTTAACAGACCCCTCCGTTATTCATAGCCATAGGCCTTTGTCTTATCTGCAAGAACTTGTAATATTTAGCTGTGTTATAAAATCAGCCGTATCTTATCAACTGCCTTTAATATGAAACAAGGAAAAGCAGCATACCAGTACACCCCATTTTTGGGCTCCTCAGGACAAGACAGACATTACTATAAGGCTTCCAAGATGGTTGAGAGCTGGAGGGAGCATGACATACAAGCAGAAGCTAAGAGAAATAGGTTCGTTCATCCTTAAGGGCAGCAAGTGGAAAGGAAGGGAAATCATATTGCTGTCTGCAACTACGTAAAGGGAAAGTGCAGAGAGGACAGAACTAGGATCTTCTCAGAGGTGCACAGCAACAGGACAAAGACAACAGGGGTGTGCTGGAACATGGGAAATTCCGACTTTTCAAAATAATTACTTATTTAAACTATGGGATTGGTCAAACCCTGGAACAGGGACCCAAAGAGGTAGAAAATCTCTATATTCTGAAGATGTTCAACACCTGACTAGATAAAACTCTAAGGCATCTGCTCCTGCTAGACCTGGGTTTTAAGCAGGAGGCTGGAGTGGATGAACTTCAAGAGGTCCCTTCCAACCTATGCGATTATGTGAGTCTAAAAGTATTTCACGGGAGCCTGTATATAAAAAAAAAAATACAGTAACTTCAGCAATTTGTCAAAACCAGGACTCTAGGATCAGTGAAATAACTATGCTTATTGTCCCTCAGTAGCATAAGAAAGCACTTACAAGATTACAAAACCAATTGCAAGACCCACAGGAACAGGACCAACTATTCACAAAAGTGTTGTGAAACAGCTTAAGGAGCTGAACTTAGGGGAAAGGGGAAGGCATGTGAGATTAGGGAGAGACTTCCAAAAAAGTTTGCCAGCATATTAACTTAATGACTTGAAGACAGATCAGAAAATAAAACCTGCTAAAAAACCCAACCCTTAGATTTGAATGTTCAGGAAAAAAAGCAACATCCTGGTATTTCCATTTAAAGCATTTTACAGCAGAAAGGCAAACTCCTCTGCAGGCACATTCCAGAGTAGCAATAAAGGTGTATGAATCAAGGTTCACTTATACTGAGACTCATCCCCCTTAAATTCAAACCCCAGCTGTGATGCTAGAATTCTGTTTTTCCTTCTGTTTTGGCCTTTCCAATTCCTAGCCTGCACCTATCCCAAAAGGTGACAAGCTAACTTAACCCATCATTTTCAAGGCCCTTTTAAGCTTTTTTTGAAGCTTTGTAGAAAGCAACACACAATAAAAAAAATAAGGATGAATCCATAAATATCTCCCACACCCTTAATGGATGCTTTGAGCATGCAAGGAATGCAACACTGGGATCATGAGTTGAGCAGTCACAACATGCGGTCTTTAAAAAGTAGTCAGACTTATAACTGGAAAGAAAACCTCAGTCTGTTTATACAAGCTAACAAAGATCAAAGCTCTCAGTTTTGCTTAACCATTTCCAAAGAAGTGAATACAGCCTGAAAACAGAAAACTTGCATAACAACCAATTTTTAGGACAGAAGTTCCCAAACTCTGGAGTGTTCATTGCTTCCTAAACTGTGCATCTATGCCAGGTAAGAAATACTGAGCACACTCCTCATCCCACCTAGGTGTAGGCCCATACAGGAACTGTGAGGAAGCTCCTCAGGTCCTGGAAGAGTCTGTACCTGGGCACTCAGGAGCTACTTCTATTACCTAGGAAAGGTGCTCCTCTCCTAAGCCTCCAGATGGAAACACGCGGCTGCTCCAAGGAGGGTCAGGTGTAGATCGGTGAGAGGACGGAGCCACGGTTTGAGAGAAGACAAGAACATTTTCATTCATGTTGAATTATTCCTTGAGGAGGTACTTACTTATCTACTAACGTCCGAATTACAGCCAGTGTGTCAAGTACTAGCCCATCCACATTCTGTTTTTTCCTTCTTGGTTCATGAGGCCCTCGACCCCTCCTGGGTGGACGGACAGGGTCCCTTGGGTGGCTCCTTGCTTCAGGTATGCGTGATCTACTGTTCTCCGTTTGCCGACTCTGAGATTCCACGTTGTCTTCTGCTCCACTGTCATCGCGGCAAACACACGAGTTTCCCATATTGCTAGCCCCCAAGGCTCCCAGTAAACAGGGAACGTGGTGCTCTAGAGTCAACAGCAAACCTTGAAAAAGGCTTCTGCTAGCATAGAACACAACCAAAGCAACTACAATCATCTAGGAAGTTTTAAGAGTAATGTTTGTGTGATCCTGAATTGTGATTTTTTTGCATTATAAACGTTGCTACCAGCTGGAATGAATGAGAAGTTGGAGACTTAGTTTCCAATATAATCAGTTAAAATACACATTGGTCATCCAGAAGGAGGTCTGAAAAAAAACCAAAACAAAACAAAAGAGTCAGTGTTACTACTTCTAGTGAATAACAGAAGAATTCCTATTATAGTAAACAGAATCAGTTTTGGTGGATAAAGCACATAGGAAACATAAGGTTTGTAGCTGAAGTCTATTGCTAAGAGGGGGAAAGGAAGAGGAGGAAGTTCACTGGGTAAGTAGCTCTTGCCCACACACCATTCCTTTCTGCACTAGCTATTACTTTCAATTTCTTCCATGTTTTTTCCAAACAGAGGAAAAACTTTGTCCTTAAATCTAGCACGCTGCTACCCTTTAAGTACTAACAAAGCAGTTTCATTTGTTCTTTACCCTTTACCACACTGGTTAGGTTACCCAAATAAAGGCCAAACATTTAAGGTTCTCATTTCACATCAGGAATATTCAGGGTAATTTCCAGACAGACTCTACAAAATAGCCAAAACTGTAAAGAACTCATCTTACAGTTACGGCCTATCTCAACAAACACTAGATTTAACTGTGAACTGTTTAGTCCATCTGCATCTACACATGTCTTTTTGGAACGTGCATACATCAACTGGATTCTCACCCAAAGAAGCACCAAGTACCAACCCTGAAATCAACAGGAATTACAGACACCATTCTAATGCCTACAAATCTAACCGGGATTTTGAAAAGGGTGTTTTCTGTGTGGGTTACATGCTTGTTTGAATCTAGACTCAAACCAATCTTCTCTTCTTGGGAACAAAGACTAATTCAATTATTCTTTTGTTCTAGATTCAAATGGTCTGTATCAAATACAGGCCCACTGGCAACTCAGATTGTAGGGCAGTCCCTCCAAATCATTAAATTGAGAATTCTAGCAAAAGCAAAAGGTTTCAAAACCTCATTTCATACAAATTATTTTTCAGGCCATTGGATATATTTCTATTGAACATTACTGAGAGTCTCAGCTAAAATAAAGCCCTAAGAGAGACATCATTTCACTACTTATGCACTTCAAGCATGACAGAATAAATAAATAACTTTTAAGACTAAATGCACGTTATTCTTTTAAGAATCAAGTTTAGCATTTAAGCTAGGAGTTATGGTGAATATGCTGTAACAGGTTATTACTACTCTGAAATTATTAAATAATGTATTTAAACAGCAGACATGTAACACCATAAAATGAAAAGAAAGTCAAAGACAGTTGCCACCTTTCAAATATGAAAGTCCCCCTACCATTGGAGCCACCTGGCAACCATGAAATTGCTGGCTGCCACTTGGGACAAGATCATAACAACACTATTTGGGAAGCCAGACACTGGTCACATGAGCAAGTCCCTGGATATACGGTTGTCACTGGAAAAGCACTGCAAACAAGCTCTCAGACTTCTGCAGTATGAAGTACATTATCTTCTTTCAGCACAGTGAAGAGTTCAGTATTAAGACATTAACTGAAGGCTAACTAGGAAAAAAAAAAATCCCTCAAGGGATATTAATTGCAAAAAATTACAAGATCTTGACTTCTTGTTCAAGAAATTCCTAAACCACAGATCATTAAAAGGGTTCAGCATCACAACACACTTGTTTTACTCTAAGCTGTTTGAATATAACAAGAGATGGGACACAAAGCTCAGGAGTCCTTCCATCTGAGCCAATACAGCTGTTACCTTCTCAGTCAGCAAGTAAAAGTAGATGTGAGCGTGCCAATACAGACTGCATAGATCTTAAAACAGAATTGTGTAAGATCACAAATGGTTCAAATTATTTTAGAAGGTTGAGGGGGATGAGGGGCCAGTGGCATTTCTTTATTTTTTAAAGAGAGCTAGTTATCTTAAATGCAAAACACGTCTTCCTAAGGAAAAACTATGCATGTATTTATGTATCTAGATCATTTAAGGGCATCATTTAAGATCATTTAAAACTGTTATAGATTAAGAATCTGAATTAAGCTGTTCTGTAATTTATAAAAACGTCACAGTAAATCTACCCTGTCATCAAAACAAGCATGGAAAAGATGTATTTTAGGGAATAACAGTAAGAACCTACCTAAGGAAACAAAAATAGACATAAGTCAAGATTAAAACTGATTATTGAAACCTAGGTTTTTCTGTTTGACAACTTAAAGCATGATTAAAACCAAGTGATTATGATCAACTCACCCTTAAGTGTGTTTGTTTCAGGAACAGTTAGGCTTGCTCACAAAGCACTGTAAGAGAAGTGGACTGTACTTCTTCAGGGCACAGATGTGGTTGTATCCGGAAAAGCAGCACTCTATAAGCCTTTATCGTGGGCAGCAAGTCATTATGGCTGACTCTGCTTTCACTTTTAGGGTCTACGCCAAAGAGTCCCTGAAGACAGACAGAAAAGAAAGAACAATTCACTTGGAAACTGCCTCTAAGGTAGATGTATTCCACCTCCTCCTTACACCCACCGTGACATCAAGCCATGTTGTTATTTTCAGCTACATTCAGCCTTTATGGGGGAAATTCTCCCAAGGCTTCAAAAACCAGTTTGCCACCTGCTAACTTTGGGACCAGACACAGCTACAGAGAACCCAATCTATTTTTACAGTCTTGGTATTCCAGACACCATAGCACCAAGTGCAGAGCAGTGACCAACTCTTCCCCTCAAATTTCTGCTTACAAGAAGGGAATCAATAATATCTGCTCCAGATCACCCTCACGTAGGGACAGCAGAAAAATAAAAGCAAGTACACTAGGAAAGTTGATCAGATAAAGGGAAGAGAGAAATGACAGGATAAACTCCCCTTATTTAGTAAAGAGCCAAGTTTGACAGCATTCACTTGGCTGTTGCTTACCATCATGCACAAGGAATTCATTGTCAAGCCTCAAACTGAAAGAATAATTAGGAACATAAGGTAGAAGAAGAGATTGTTACAGATCCGCCTTGCAAAGCAGCTTGTCTGGAGAGAATAAGAATGCATGAAGAGAGGTTCTAAACTGCAAAGGAAAAGCTTTTTAAGAAAAGTATTTTAAAACAGTGATGTGCTAGATTGCACTTGAGCTGGCATATTTTTTAAGGACAGCTTTACAACATTATAATGAACTGTGACTTTAGCATTAGGCTGCCAGTGGCCATCCTGACTCCCTCACTCTCACTGCTGAATTAAAGAGGACAGAAATATCAAGCTTCAGTTCAGGTCAGCTGCAAGATGGGATGGGTAAATACAGCAGAGAAGGGAGATGCAAGTGATGAGTTATCAATTCTGCTTCTGTCCACACTTGGAGACCTCAGTGACACAACACACAAAACCAAAAGCATTTTGTACATCATGAAAGATTAAATATATTATTGTTTCAATAAGAAGTAACAATCTCCACATACAGAGATGGAAAGAAATTTTAAAATTTAACTTCAAGCCTAATTTTTGCAAAACCCTGCTCTCAACAAAATCTGGACACAAAAATGTGTTTCTTCCAATTCCAAAAATACTTAACAGTCTACTTGCAAATAATGTGGAAATAAAAGAGAAGGGGGTTTTTAAAGAATCTGTCTAAAAGAAAAAAAAAAAAAAAAATTCAAGGAGCAAAACAAGAGTATCACAACAGCAGTATCAAAATAGGCCAAGATAAAGCCTGCTGTCCTACCTGGCAGCAGGCACTTAAAGCCAAGCGTAACAACAAGCATCCAGTAACAGACAAATAGGCTCTTTCCTAGCACACTCACCTGAGAGTCAATAGCTCAGTCTCCTGAGACAAAGGTCACATGTTTGTTTTGCTGCTAAAACACGGCTAAGAAAAAGAACTAATCTTTCATAATCCACTTAAATTCCCAGTAGTTACACAGCTAAGTCTCAGCAACTGCTTTTAAAATTTAGCAGTCTTCCATTTATAAAGCCGTGACCAATTGTTAACCAAAGCGTACTAGTTTTCTTGAAAATTATGCGATTGAAGAATTTAGTGTAGCTTGTGACTTTTACTGTTTGTGTTCTAATATCACATCAAAACACTCTCTAAAAACCCAAATATGTTGTGAGCTAACAGCTAAGATTCACTTAAGCAACAACACAGGAATAAAGATAAGTTTCCCTGCAAGGCTGCTGGAACAGAAACCTATTACCTCCTGTCAGGGCTACAATGACATCACGCAAACACCATTTTCTTAAACAATCAGTGCAAATCAAAGTAGAACTGAAAGTCTTCAGTTGAAGCAAACGTGCATGAAAATACCAGCAAGAGCTAAGCTACAGGACAGAAAGAAAACAGGGTCTCCATGTTAAAAGCTGTGACCCCTCCCTTTCCACACAATCAGATTTTGTGTCATTCAGGTACACTGCAGTGCTAGAAAGCCCCATCCCATGAGTTTTGCAGCACATGCCCTAGGGATATTCTTTGGTAAATTTAGAAAGATATAACAAGACCATGAAAGCTGTCTGCAAGAGCAGCCAGATTTATAAGTGATAACACTTTTATTTTACTTTTTAAATGGTATTTTAATAAAAGCTTGACCCCACGTTTTTAAGTGCAAGAATTGGTAGAAGCAGCAGCCAGTACCTGCCCTTCAACAGGCAGAGTTGCCCATTCCCTCTGAATTCTGACCATCAGATGTTACTTTGGGATGCAGGACTACGAAGCTGTCAGACGTATTATCCAAATGCAAGTTTTTATTCTACAAGCACCACCTGGTAGTGATACCTCCCACCCTGAGCAGATACTGTGGGAACAGCAGAGAATGCCCGTGCTGCACACCTCCTCCTTTACACCAGGGAGCACCTGCAGGACACGTACCAAATGGTCGCCCTGGCAGGTCTCCCCTTCAGCAAAGCACCAGGCTCAGAGGCCGTTTGAGCCTGACGCCTCTCCTGCACAGGAGGAAAGGAGGCAGCGGGGCACAGGCACAGCCCTGCCAGCTGCAGCCTCCCGTGCCCCCACACACCTCCACCAGCCGTCGGCACCATCCCCACCACGGCAAAGCAGCTGCTCTCCTGGCAGGCTCAAGCACGTGCATAGACGCACGAAGGAGCTGCAAGCTGCACAGACTGACCACAGCTGCCACAGCAAGTGGGAAAGGTGAGATCATTGTCCATTGAAACGAATGCTATTTGAGTGGATGTGCACCTGCCTGGCAGCATGGATGCCCAGCCTGCACGAGAGAGGCCTCCTCTCCATCATCTGACAGAGCGCACCAATGGAGACGGCGCCTCCAAGGGGCATCAGGATCATTTTCTCTGCAATACGCAGCCCAAGAGCCGATGATTCATCCCCTCAACTATTTGGTTACAGCCAACCATAATACTGCCTCATGATGGAAAATGCCTCTCCTTTCCATGAAATGGAGTGCATTGCCAAGCAAACAAAACAAAACAAAAAAAACCGCGCACCAACCCTCACACACATAAATGAGCAGAGAGGGTTTCAGCTACCAGAACCATTTTTCCAGCTTCTGTCACTATTACAAGAGTAAGACCAGCAATTTCTTCTCTCAAGAGCAGAGTAACACAGGAGCTTAGTCAGCAAACCATAAAGTTGACAGCTTTTCAAATGCAAAATTGTGAGTTTTAGGGCAGCAAACTCCTATTAAGGAGATAAAATAATTAGAAATATTTCCTCAGCATTTCTTTCCCGAAGAAATGATGCTCCTAATAAGGAAGAGATGGAAATACTTGCAATGTTAGTTGGATGAAAAGTTCAAACTACTACCAGAAGGGAACACAGCTACAAATTACTACAAGATAATCAACTCTGATAAAAGAGTAAGATGGGGAAGAAGCCTGTCTGCAACTACAAGCTTTTGTAACGTGGAGAGGATATCAGCTTTGAGATGATCGGCACAGGTGATAAAACCCAAGAATTTCTAGTAAATTGAATACAATTATAATGTAAAATTGAGACTTTCTCAGAAGATCACATTGCGATCTGAGGTCAACCTCTCAACTGTAAGACTTGTGCAACTAAAGAGAAAAAGCTGCCTGGCATCCAGCGTGGCCACAACACAGTGCATGCAATAAGTCGACCACAGGTTTCAAGAGAAATGAGTAAATGCCATGCTGGTTCTTTTGCATGTAGTAACCAAACATCGTATTGTGCAATCTCAAGCAAACCTCTAATTCAATTCTATTTTCTTTAAAAATATCCTGGAGGGTTAAGAGTAGTGTCAAAATTCAATGGGAAACAGAATTTACTGGCATGCAGTGTGTTACCATCCTCAGGACAAAGCTATTGCCACTGTCATTTGCTTTCTTGCTACAGTAATAGCACCCTAAACCGAAAGCAGACTGACCTTGAGCTTGCCTCTTTCACAGAAAGGGAAAGAGACTGATCACGTCTCAAAACTTTCCAGCTTCTGCCCAAGCGCTTGTCAGTGAAAACCTGCAGGGTTGTGCAGGGCTTATGCAAAAAAATAGGCTTTACCCCTGCAGTCTCCTCTAGGTAATTCTAGCTTTGTCAGAAACACAGAGTAACTGAAGGATCTAGTCTCTTGTTTGATTTGATGTGAAATAAGTCAAAGGAGAAAAGAAGGAGACACTAACTACCACCACAGTAGTTTCTTTTTCTGTAGACTCAATGTGAAAGTCATTAGTTACCTGTACATTGGACTACTTTGTCTTTTTACTTCCCTTAAATCTGTTTTCTAAGCTGGTACAGAAACATTAAATCCATGTTGCAATTATAAAGTGAACTTCACTTTCTAACTTCAACTAGTGTCTCCAAAGTAGTCCTGGTAAAGAGTCCTGCCCTGCCCAGGTTTTCCCTTATCTCTGGATACAGACACACCAGTGCCCAGGGCTCCTCAGGCATCAGAGACAGTTCTGATACAACTCTTTCTGAACGAGAAACTGAAGCATTTAGCACCTTCTAAGCTTCCCCATCTCAGAGGTCGTAATTTGTCATTTCACAATCAGTTGGAATTGTCCTTTGTACCACAGCCTCCAGAAGACCTCAGCTCTGCTGCATGTCTAAACCACCATTTCAATGCTGGTATCAATCATGCTTCCTGGTTCTCATCTCCCCAGACTATAGATGGGTCATCACATTTCTTTTCAGAGACAAAGCTGTAAATTATGCTTTGAGGCAAGATGAATACACTTCTGAGAGAATGATCTTTTTAAAAGATAGTGGTATCTGACAGCTCTGGTGAAGTTGAACAAGAATTGCCTCCAGCAGACTGACGTGGCATGGCGGTACAAGCTCAGCAGTTGTCCAAGAAGCAGAATGTAATGCACTGTTTGGGAAGTGGCAGGAAGATAACGCCCTGTAGATGGCAGGGAACACTGATCCTACAAACTGAAGGCATACAAGAACATGAAATAAAATTGATTAGCTATACCATATTAAGTTTTGGCACAGACATTCATTTGGAGGCATATAAGTAAATCCTTCAATTAATT